CTTTAATGTGTCCAAAAAAGGAGAATGAGGCATGGAGCAGGAAGGGGCTTGGGATGCAAGTCCCTGGCCTCTGAAGCATCCGACTCATTTTCCCCCTCTGGCTCCCTCCCACCCCAACACCAATCCCCAAGCCATCACATCTTTAGTGGCTGTCATTGACTCCCTTCAAACTGGGACACAGTTCAGCTCTCCTCCTGTGACCCTTTGGAACTGCTTCCCTGAGGCCCTGGATCCTGTCTGCCCCCAGCCACCATAAGCACGGCCCTCCTGCCCATCTAGAGCCTTCTCCCTTGCTTCTTTCTTCTCATCTGTCTCAGCCTGAAGATCACCTCCTTCATGGGGCTATCCTTGACTACTTGCCCTGAGTTCCCCCACTCAGAGTCATTCCTGTATCCAACACAGGATGTATATTTTCTTGATTCCTCGCTGGTCTCTCTTAGTTGGGGAGCTCTGGAAGTATGGGGCTCGTCTACTTCACTCACTACAGAACAGCAGATCCAGATTAATCCTGAGTGAAGTACTAGGTGCTTAGTAAATGCCATGAGTGAGATACTAGGTGCTTAGTGGAAGAAGAAGCTGCAGGCAGGGTGGCGTAGGACTATGGATGTACAAACCTGTACCACCCATCTTTATATACCCCATGCCTTGAATTTCTCAATCAAACTGTACAAGAGCACACACTTCATCATCCATCAGCCCCTGCTAGGTTGGACCCTCTTGCCTTCTCCCTCCAGAAGGGAGGAAATTACTGGCATCAAAGGAGGCATGGAGCTTATGGGAGCAGGAACCTGTGGAAGCTGCCTCTACCATGACCAGGCTCTGACTTATGGCACCCTGACCCTCCCTGGTCTCCAGAGGCTCCTTAGGTACAGCAGGGGTTCCAGCCCTCCGAACATGAGATCCTTTTGTTCCCAGTGCTGGGCTACCCAGGATGTGGGCTGCTAGGAGCACTTCTGTGTGCTTCCCGGCACTCTGGGCAGGTTAGCACTGCTGACAGATGGCCTGGCTTCCAGCCTTGGCCCACCCCTTAGTCCTGGGGAAGGAAAGATGTGGGGTTCACTGTGACCTTTGTTCCGGGTCTGCACATGGGGCTTCCACAGAAGGTGCTGGAAGGAGTGGTCGGGGTGGCTCCCATTCTGCCTGGGTCACAGTTATGTTTTGCTTTTTGCCCTCCTGAGACCCTGACCCAGTGAACCCTTCATGTTTTTCTGTCCATAGCACAAGGAGCAGGTGGATGTGTAAACAGCGCTGTCCTTGAGGGACCACAGGGATTGGGCCCGTCTCAGTTCTCTTTCCCTGTGGCAGGCAGAATGGCAGGCTGGCTCTGTTTTCCCCAGAGTCCCCACTTTCTGCAAGTGTTTAACAGGAGCAAGAGAGTCCCCTGGCCAGGAACTGCTGCCCCCCACTTGGGGAGGGAGGAGAAGGAAGCCACTCAAGCCCACAGCAATAAAGGGTTTATCTCACTGTCCTCTATTGCCATCTCAGCCTTCCTCTCCGCCAGACTTAATTTCCGCCTGTCACTTGAGGGGCCTGGGCAGGTTCACAGCTTGCTCGTGTCACAGTGGACTCAACTCTGGATTGTGAGAAGAAGGGCAAAGAGCTAGGCGTAGCTCGGTGCTGAGGGGGCCTTTAAGACCCCTCTGGGTCTCAGGTTCCCATTGTAGAAGGGGTTGTCTGCTGGATGTTGTGGTCACAGCCCCTGGATCTCTGGAGATCCTGGGAGTTCACTAGCATGACGACACCAGGGAACATCCCACCTGCAGGGCCAGGGAGAGTCAGCCACAGCACAAATGCCATAGTCTGAACAATTCTTCCAGGGTCTCACCCTCCTCCTTACAGGTGGGCCACTCGCAGCTCATGGGTAATGAAGCTTGACCATGCTGAGGCAGAGCAGCTAGTCCATGTCACAGTCTTGCTATGAGGTACTTGGCAGGGAGGTGATGGATGGATGCTTTCTCTGGCCATTAGTACAGGTGTCTCTATTGTCCACAATGGAATGAAACACCTGAGCCAGGGGTTTGTGCTTTCACCTCACTGTACTGGACCCCGGAGTCCAAGTTAGGTCAGCAGCTGGTGGGGTAGCAGTGCAGCCCCAAGAGTAGATAAAGTATAATCCAGTCCCCAGGCTTCTGTTCCAGGACCCATACACTGCCGGCTACTGTGGTCATGGCCCCTGGGTCTCTGGATATCCTGTGAGTCTATCAGTATGGGGACACCACGGAACATCCCACCTGCAGAGCCAGCATGCCTGTGAGGAGCCCTGCTCCCATCTCAGTATTCCCACATTTTGGGATCCATGCTTATGCTACCATTCTACAACTTAGGAAGCTGAGACCAGAAAGGCTGAATGAGCAAACCATCTCCTGATAATCACACACAGCCTCTGGGTTTGGAGACACAGAGTCCCTGCCAGCTAAGTGGCCCAGCCACCCTCCAGGGTCACCTTATGTGCTGTCCAGTGTGTCGGAGCACAGAGAAGTCAGACCCTATATCTGGGAACTGCAGGAGACCTGGCTCCCGGCCACTGCGTACACCCTACAATCTGTCTCCCTCTCCTCTGTCTCCCTGAGGCTGGCAGCATTGGGATAGAGGGGTGGTCTCTGGAGCAGGTCCCAGAAACAGCTTGGCCTGCACTTGGCTCCCAGGTGGGACTTCTCAGGCATTCCAAGATGCCTGAGTTCCTGGCAAAGACTCCTCACCCTCTTTCCCTACAACCATCTGTGGCACCCCCATTGCCTATAGGAGGAAAGCAAACTTAGACTTCAGAAGCATTTGTTAACAGATAGGTTTGGCCCGAGGGACCACACTTCTAGCAAGTCCCCGGTGGTGGCATGCACGGCATCCCTCAGACCTTACTTGGAGGAATGAGACTTCACAGACCTCCATCTGCTATTTCTCCCTCATCTTTCAGGAAGATTTTGCCCACAGGTTCACATGGTAGCTGCCTTCTCATTTCTAATTCTCCTTCAAAATCGGGCCCCAAAACTTCTTCCTAATTGCTTCCTAGTTTCTAGATAGCCACATGCTCATCATCTGCGCCCCCAGACCTCTTTGCTAGCCCTTGAAATCCTGAGTGGTCCCAGACCTGACTGTGGGATGGAGACTCAGCCACGCCCAGATCAGTTGCTTAGCCCTTCTGTGTCAGAGTTCACATTTAGATCCTCTTTGTTACAAGCCCCCCCCCAACAGTCCCTTCCTCACATGTGTATGGACAAAATTAAATAAAAGTGTGTGGTGGGGGGATGGGGGCAGGGCAGGGCAGAACATGTTTTCCTTTCTGTCTGCTTTTGTCTCTGGCCCCGAGTGCCCAACCAACAGGCTCGCCTGTTAATCCATGGGGTGACCTTTCCAAGGGCTTCTCAACCACAAAAGTAAATTCCAAAGGAGCAGCAAAGAGACCAAGAACTCCAGCTGAGCTTGCCACTGCCAATCAGAATCTCTAGAAACTTGTCTGTCAAGAGAACAAATGTTTTCTTAAAGAAAGAGCAGATGTCATGCCAGACGCCTGTGTATCTTTTGCCATTCTTTCCTCAAGGGGACTGCAGATGGGCAGGTTCTGCTAGAGGACCTCTGGTAACTTCTTTCCCACTGGTGTGGAGTTGGGATGCCCAGGTAGCCCTCTGTGCCCTCGTGAAGGCCCATGTCTTTATGGTCAGTCCCTCCTTGCCATTTCCAGTCAGAGGGACACTTGGAGCCTGTGTTCTCTCTCTCTCTCTCTCTCTCTCTCTCTCTCTCTCTCTCTCTCTCTCTCTCTCTCTCTCTCTCTCTCTCGATATGACTCATCCATATGGGATTCAGGCCCATCTTTTCCATCCTCACTAACTCTCCCTTGGCGGCACAGTGCCCCTAGATCTTTGACCTTGGCCTCAGTACTGATCCAGGGAACTTGCCCAGTGCCTGAACCTTCCCCTGAGACCCTCTAGTTCCCTCTCTACTCAAGGAAGGCCTCCTAGGGTGTGAGAGCAAGGCAGAGACTTGAACCTGTAGACAGATAGAGAATACAGAGCTGGCCTGGAGTAGACTGTGAGTACAATCTGACTTCCATAGTGACTGGGCAGCCAAGAGTTCCCTGGGAGTGAGGACCCTGTATCTAAATCTCGGCTGTATTCTCTGGATGCCCTGTGCAGTTGCACAGTTTGTGGATAGCCCCTGTTTGGTGCCGTGTGTCACTAATGCTCTGTCCTTCTTCTCAGTACCAATGTGTAGCCCTGGGAGGGTGGAATAGGGCAGGAACAATGAGTAGGTACCGCACCCCATCTAGAGGGTCCTGCAGCTACATTAGGATCTTGCTGGTTGGTCTTGGGACCTAAGTGAAGGAGGCCTATCAGAGTGCAGGATTGGAGCCCATCTGGGATAGGCAAGGACAGCCTGCCAGCTGTAACTGCAGCCCATGACCAGCTGCCTCTGCCCATCAAGCTTAGATGTGGAAGATCCCCGGCCTGGCATATTCAGTCCTCATCTCATGTAATATGGACTTGTGGACACTGTGTATGGTAGGCTGTTAGGTTCATGGTCCCTAAGCACCTCCTTCCAGAAAGAAAAGTGAGGCAGAGAGAAGAGGGGATCAGTGCCAGGGTCCTGGGAAGATTGTCAACACCTGTAGAGGTGCCCAGGGGTGCCATGGCCAGAAAGGCTGTACTTTGCAACTTATGGCTGGAAGCCCGTGCTGGTCCTGCTGAAATCTTCTCCTTATAAGAATAAAGTTTAGGAAGCCCTATTCTCCCTTCCAGATGTGAAAACTGAGGTTCAGGGAGGACAGTCATTGGTCAAAGCCTTGGGGCACTCTAGGAGCAGAACCTTTGTGCCCAGGACACTGTGTAAGGAGCCAGGGTCACACTCTTCTAAGAGCCTGGGTGCTGCCATATGCCCCCGGGGCTGAGGGGGTCTCATATACTCATCTTGGAGCCACCGTGATGAAAGCCTTGTCCCCTTTAAGTAGAGAGCAGGCTGCAGTGGGTGGACTGTGCCCAGCCAGTGGGAGGGAGCTCCTGGGCCCCTCCTTGGGAGAGTGAGGGAGGGACCTGGTGTGTGGCTGGGAGCTGTGGGCAGTGCAGAGACCGCGGGCATGCTGTGTGGGCTCAGCCGGGACAGCCCTGCAGAGGCAGGTAGGTGGAGCATGCAGACACCACACCAGCTGAGTGCTGCCAAGTGGGACCTGGATGGTGGGAATGGGGCTGCCACTCTAGGGGACAAGGACTTTGGAAGTTGGATTTGAAAGAAGGCATGGGATTCCTAGCCAGGCAGGTACTAAGGGTTGTCTGCTCTGGAGCTGTCCTGTCACTGGAAGGCTGCCTCTCGGGGCTGCACCTAGGGTACAGGTTACAAATTGTTTAGCCAGGAACCCAGGGAGGCTGCCCCTCCTGCCCCAGTGGGGAGTGCTGCCAGGCATTGGGAGCATGGGGCCGTCCACTAGGACTGAGCCTTCCCCAGACCAGGGTAGGTCAAGGCTTCTGGGAGCCCTGGGCTCTGAAACTCAGAAGAGGGGCGGGGCACAGCTGCTGCATTCCTAGATGGCAGTGGTAATGTCTGGGACTGGGGAGGAGCTGTGAGGTGAGTATAGTGATCCCTGTCTCTGTCCATCTGTCTGTTCCCTAACTTCAGCTAGTTGAGCCAGCCTGACACCACTCCCTGATGGTGTGATCACCCTACTCCCTGTGCCTTGGGGTCACCACCCTTCAATTCTCCCAGTTCCTTACATAGTCTACACACCCCTCAGGGTCTATGCCACTGAGTGTCACAAGTGTTCAAGAGACACTTCAGTCTTAACAGTCTGAGTTGGGAACCACAGAACTCCTGTGCTTGGCTTAAACCCGAGCCTTCTAGGCTTTTACTCCACTCTCTATGGCTTTCAGGCTCCCACCCCGGCAGAGCCTGTGTCCTGGTCTTCTGGCCTCTGGGCCCCCACCTCTAGTGGGGCCTGCGATCTGGTGTTCTGAGTTCCCAGGAGGGAGTGGCTAAGCCTGAAGTCTGATAATCGCTCCTGAGCTCTCAGGGCCTCTGATGCATATTCCCTCACTACTGTAGCCCTTAAGAATCTCCTCCTTAGGTCATAGGACCACACTATTACACCTGCATCAGTACTGGTTGACTTCCAGGAATGTAGGATCTAGGCATTCTGTCTTTCTTTATCCCTTCCCTGTTCCTCTATAGGTCAGCTTTGTTTCGGTTCCTTTTTGTTAATCACCAAGCTTCATGTCACAGAGCCTATTTCAACAGTTCCCTCAAAAGTCTCAGGACCCAACATGGATCCCATGCCCATTGCTAAACCAACCACAGGGCTTCTCACTGGCCAGGCCTAGTTGTAGGACCTCTTCTAAGCTAGGAAAGGAGACTAACAGGTGGTCACTGGCATGGGGGCTGAGGCCTATGTGTGAGTGGAATTGGGATTGGGGTCTGTGGAGCAGGCAACCTGGCTCTCTCTGGCCTGAATGGACTCTGCCAGAGTGGATCTTTCCTCAGGGACTGTCTCCTGAGAGCCTCTAAGAACTCCACAGGATGGAAGATAACATATACAGTAGGTCTGACTCAGACTAACATGGCTGAGAACCCCACCTATCACCCATCCCAGCATATACATACAGCCTTTGAATCCTGCCTGAAGGATGGGCATGTCCTCTGACTCCTAACCACAAAGATATCTTTGTCACCATGGGCTGCCAGGCTTTAGTGAACACTGGCCGCTCAGCCAGACTCAGGACAATTGAGGCAGAATGTATGCACAATGGAGGATCCCTGTTGGCACCCCCCCCTCTCAGGGGTTTCATTGGAGCCCCTTCTAGTCCTGGGCTGTGGCCATGGGGGAATCTTAGAGGCCACCCACTTGGGAGTCAGCCAGGAGCCTGGAGCCAGGGAGAGGTGGGCTCCACCCAGGCTCCATCCCTTCCTATTCCTGGCTTCCAGTCACTCATTTGGCTTCTTTGATGGCTGTTCTCCTCACCCACAAATGGGGACTGAGTTCAAGAGTTAGATGCTTACAGAACACTAGAAAGCCCTACCCCCACTGGAAGCACAGTGATGTCTTTCTGATCATGTTGAGTGCTGAAAAGAAAAACGGCAAGAGTTAATAGGGACTTTAAGAGGTTTTGGGATGAGTCCATACACAGACTCATGGGCATGGCCTTCCTGACTGGGGACATTTTATCAGGTTACTGCAGGAGGTAGAAAGAATGTCTGGATGTCTGGGAAGTCTTCCAGGAACAGGGAGAACTCTAGTCATGGCTCCAAGGAGCCTTGCCCTACCTAGCCAGCATTTCCTGCAACCTCACGTGGGATCTTTGGTGCTCTTGCTAGGGGAAGGGAAAAGAGCTAGGAGTGAAGGATGAATCCTCCTTGGGTCAGGCACACCTGGTTCCAGGATGCTCGGTGGCACACCAGCTGTCTCCCCACCACAGGGATGCCAGTGAGACTGACCAGTTTTGAGCAGTTTGTGTGGATGCTTGCAGTGGGCTGTCCCAGGAAGAGCCCAGCAGAGTGGCCAATCTGTGTTCTCTCTGGCCACCTTGGCACTGCACTATGAGGATTCCTGTTTGATGTGTGGCTGCTGGGCTCATGCCACTGAAAATGTACCATGGTTGTCATATCTGTTGTCCCATGCATCTGCCCGTGGAAAGCAAGCTTCCTGGAGGCCTATTGGCTATAGAGACCAAAGCCCACACTTTGGCCCTGTGCTGATGCAGCCCTTTGGGGACAGGGGTGTCACTGTGGGACAACCTCTCTTGGAACAGAGAGGTCCCTGAGGTGTTATCATGTTCAGAGGGAGGGGGCATACAGGGCAGGACCAGATGACCTGGGAAGCCATGTGACCTGGGCTTGAATGCATTCAGAATCTAAGTGTCCTTATTGTGGGTCCCCTAACTTCTGTGTGCCTCAGATTCTCCATCTATCCCATGATAGTGACAGTGGCACTCTGGACTCAGGCTTATAATGAAGACAGAGTGGTGGTGACTTTGAAGTTCTTAGAACAAGGCCTGAGGCAAAGCTTGCTCCATCTTTTGCCATGAGGTAATACCCTCTCTGTGCCTCAGTTTCCACCCCCCCCCCCCCCGTGTATCAGTGTGCCTAGCTGGCCTGAGTCCAAAGTTCATCCTTCCCTCTGAATACCAACAATGACTTCTGTATCCTGGTAGTGAAATCAAGGTTGGACAGGGATATGATGCAAGCAGCCACTCTCCAGGAATTGTCACTGAATCACCACTGTCAAAGTGGGATACTAAGAGACCTTGATCCAGCTGTCATGGGAAAACATGGATCCTACTAAGGGGTCTTCATCTTCAGCAGATGCCAGGCGTCAGCTAAGTTTACAGTACCCCCCCCCGCCCCATGTCCCCTTTCTGCCATTCTACTTGGGCGGCACCCTGGCACAGCAGCCTGGCAAGGGACAGACTTCCTTTTCCCTTTGTCAGAGCTCAGTAGCTCCCCGGGGCTGCAGAGAGAGAGAGAGAGAGATGTAAGGCGGATCAGCAAGATTTGACTAAGAAAAAAGAAAAAAAGAAAAAAAAAAAGAAAAGAAAAAGCCCCCCCTCCCCAGCATCCTAGCTGCAGCAGCCAAGACCAGGTGTCCAAGCCTGTGCCCTGGCTCCCTTTGGGCCCCGGAAGTGAATTTCCCTCTGAAGCAATTTCTACAGCACCAATTGACTGACATAGTGCTCATAATTGGCCATCGCTGGAAGGAGGAGACTAGAAAAATGCAGATAAAAATATCCCTGTTTTTTTTTTAAATGCACATTTCTAGCTGAAATTGGTGGGAAAGATGTTTTTTGAAAAGCCTTCATCTCTAAGCATGTAATTACCAGGTACAAGAACCCCCATCCAAAAAAAAAAAATTACAAGAGGACAGGAGAATGTGAACATATTCCCTGAGGGAGGATGCTGGGGGCCAAACTCAAAGGAAGCATCTATAAATAAAGTGGTCCCCTAACTTCTCACTGTTCTCAGCGAGGGAGACACCTCCCCCACTATGAAGAATAGAAGCTCAAGGCACGCAGCCAGTTGGCAATTCTGACCCTGCCTTGACTCTTGGTTTGAATTCTGCCTCAGTCTCTCTTATCCCAAGGTTTTCCTGGGTGGGGAAAGGTATGATGTTCCTCCCGAAAATGCATCAGTAGATACCATCCATTCCTTATGTGTTGTTCTGAATATGACTGGGGGAGGAGAAAGTCTTGGATTCAAAAGTCTCTTGCCCAGTAGACCTCCTAGCTGGTAAGACCACCTCATCTCCAATGGAGCCTCCTGGGCTCAACCTGAAATGCCTGTCTTGGATCTGGCCTCAGCTAACTTCTCTGTCTCTCTGTCTCTCTGTCTCCCCCCCCCCATATGTGTAGATAGGTGTATGTGTTTGTGTGCACTCCTGTGCACATGCCTGGATTTTTATGTGGGTTCTGGGAGACCGAAATTCAGGTTCTCATGCTTGTGTGACCCCTCTCCCCAGGCCCTACCTACTGACAGTGCCATTAACCTGTTCGTGACCTTGTCCCATCAAAGTCTGGAACTGCACAGCTGACAGCCAGCACCCAAGGCTAGCAGGATTTGTATGAAGGATAAAGTTGAGGCCGCTCAGTGTTACAAATAGAGGATCCATGTGACTTAACTGCCCCATGGAAGTTACCATGGCCAAGTTCAGCACTGGACAAGATCTGAATATTGGGATAAGAAGGTGGGGAGAGTCATTTTTAAAGATGGGTTGTGAGGACCTCAGAGGGACACTCTAGCTTTCCAACCCTGACTGCCTAGAGTATTTGGGGATGCCCAACCTTCAGTTCTTTTCCTTCTATTTTATCTTCAGGGTTCAAGTCTCCACTTTCAACCTACAGGTATGCAGGGCTGCATCCCAAAGGAGTCACTGATGTGGATAAACTTGGTCCTCAGTTTCCTTGAAACACAGGCCCCCCACACCCTTCCCCACAGATGCATAAACCTTGAAGCTTATCTCTCATCTCCCCAACATAGCCCAAGAGGGAGGAGCCTATGAGGCAGGATCTGGTTTGCCCAGATAAGACACATTTCAATTTCAGAATCATCTTGGTGAAATACTAGAGACATCTGTACCACATCGCCGATGGAACGCAGCCTTTCTAATTTTATTAGCTAAGAAATGTCTTGTTGGAGATAATGAAGGACGTACGAGGGAGCAGTAAAGGGAGGCATTATACTAAATGGTGTGTTGCCTGCATCGGCGACGGCTGTGAACATGGGTCTGGAAAGGAGGGTGAACACAGAGCTGCTGGGACCCCACTCCAGGAGCCAGCCCTAAAAATGCTGCTCATTTTAATTGCTGTTTGACTGGTTATTTACCAGCTTTGGAGGAAGCAGAAGGAGCCTGGCCATTCAGCAGAGTAAATGTAACCCAGAGAGTTTCTCATGGGTTAGATCAAAGATGATGAAGATTTCCATAGGCCTCAGGTGAGCTGTGGCCATGACCCTGGCCAAACCTTTCCCCTGTGTCGGCCAAGCATGTCCCTGACCATAAACAGTAGTCCTCAGTGGAGGCTGATGTGGCTCCCTCCAGGAATACTTGGTAATCCCAGGAATAATTTTTAACTGCCTCGGGATCTATTGTCTAGAAATGGAGAGACCAAGAATGCTGTGAATCTTCCTACAATAAAGAGACCCCTTCCAAAAACAGGAAAGAAAGGCAGTAGAGTTGAGGTTGAGAAACTCACTGAGGCCTGGATAGTCCAAGGTGTCTTGACTTAGGCTGATTTGCCCAGGATGACCCCTAATATAGCAAGACCTAACTGAGATGAGGCATGTGGCCTTCACCACCTGTAGAGGGACTATGACTTCTGTCTGACACCAGCCCTGAGGCTTTGGGGGAAGATACCTCCCTACAGCTGTGGAGTGACAGGCACAATTCACTAAGAACAATGGACCTTTCTACTCTGAGCAGGACTTGTTAAGGGACATGTGAAGGATGAAGTGAGGTCTAAGGAAGGAGTGGGAAGCTGCACATACACCTGGTACCAGGGAAGGATGCCACCTCCTCAGACAGCACAGAGAGCCTGCCAGCTTAGTGGCTGTCAATCAGGTACTGAGAAAAATGAGCCTTGGCAGATACAGAGGTCCTGGGCCATGAGGTGGGGATGGGGACACAAAGTGTACTTTGGAACTGCTGGACTGAGCCTCAGTTTCCTCATCTGTCACAGTGAGTGTCAAATGGGGCACAGCTGTGAGCATAGGAAAGTCCAGAGAAGGAATTGTGTAAAACAGAGGTCCTGCAGGGAGGGAGAGGCAGTGGCTTCGCCACAGTGCTGGTGACCCGGACATTCTGTAACTTCAGACTGTTCTGAAACACAGATGAGGGGGAGCCTGGGAAAGAGTGAGGAGGCCAATAACAGACAGGGAAAGGCACAGCTCTCCCAAGCCAGTGCCCACCACTGAGCCATTAGAGTTTCTGGGTTATGCAGGTGCTGCTGTGCTGGGGTTGTCCCCGGGTGTCCAAGATGGGATGCTTCCAAGGCCTGAGAATAGCAAAAGCTACAAAGCTTAGATCACATTCCTAAAACAATTTCATCTTTGTATGTTACCTGTATGCATCCCAAGGACAGTCAGCCTCCTATACTGCCTGTCCCTCTGCTGTGGGCCAATCAACCATGCATAAAATTATCAGGAGAAATTTGTACTGAACATGCACAAGTCTTTTTTTTTTTCCACCATCATCTTACATATTGTGTTACCCAGTCATCTAGGCTAAAAGGTACTCGTTGTGTAAAATAGTATACTGTTCTGTGAATGGACTGGAGAATCTGCACTCATGGGGTTCTTTGGGGCTCAGAGACATGATCCTGGTGGATACTGAGGGATAACTAAGCTGCCTCATCTCTAGATTTCTTAAAATGCCCAGCACAATGTCTGTGTTGATCACACCTGCCATCCTGTGTGTGCTATCCTGCTCTTAGGAATTCATGTTCAGTATAGAAGCATTTTTTTCTTCCTGAACATTTTTTCATAGTTGAATCTGCAGGTGTGGAGACAGAGGACTGACTATATTTTCTTTATATTTGAAATAACAGTATGGGGTGTTTCTTTGTTTTGTTTTGGTGAGGGCCTCATAGCATAGGCTGACCTGGAAGTCACTATATAGTTGAACTCCTAACCTCTCTCTACCTCTGGAGTGCTGGGGTTACAACGTGTGCCACCACACTGTGCTCTAGTAAGTCTTTAAAAAGTCCCCCAAAGACAAATGTCTGTGCAGATGAGACATGTCCCAGGAAGATAAGGAGACAGGAAGTGAGAGAAGGGGGGTAAGGATCTGGGAAGAGAGTGGCAGGCCGCAGTCTATCTGCTGAACGTAGAGAGGGGGGTGCTGAGAAATGATGCCTGATGAAGCAATGGGAAGGACTTTTCATTTAGTAAAGCTAAGGTTGGTGAACTTACACATCTAAATCCTGGGACAGGGCCAACAGGCCTGGGTTCTAAGCTAGGTCACAAATCCCCAGCTGTGTGATCCTGAATGTGAGTTCTTCCTCTCTGAGTCTTAGCTTCCTTTCTGGATAGTTGGGCAATATCACCTGTGATAACAATATGAACTGTGACATGGGCATGTCAGATGCTCAGCCTTAGAGTGGCTGAGAAACTCCAGATGTGGGGATCCTTAACCAAGCATTCTTAACCCTGAAGAGACCCCCAGGACGCCTTTACCAGATACCAGGTGTAACTGATGAATGGCATGTAGTAGAAAACTCCCCACGTGGAATGAAAATGAAAGTTTCTGATTATAATTTCTACCTTTCTCCCACAGATGATGGGCCTTACTCAAAAGGAGGGAAGGACGCACTGGGGCCTGATGGGGCCCTGGTGTGCCGCCGCCAGAGCATTCCAGGTATGGTGAATCGTGCTTTGCCTGGAGCTCTGCCCTGAGAATTCCAGTGACTCATGGAGTGTGGGCACTGCCACTAACTGGTCCTGTGCCCTCCGTGTGTCACTCATCCTCTCTGGTCCTCCCTGGTGGAGGCGATGCCATGCAGTCTAAAGTGGCTGAGTGCCTACCTCCCTGCCCTAGCCTCCCCAGTCTTGATCCCAGAGTGGGCACTGCCTGCTTGCTCATCCCCCTGTCTGCCTACAGAGGAGTTCCGGGGCATCACAATGGTGGAGCTGATCAAGCGTGAGGGCAGCACTCTGGGCCTGACTATCTCAGGAGGAACTGACAAGGATGGGAAGCCCAGGGTCTCCAATCTGAGACCTGGGGGCCTAGCAGCCAGGTGAGAGGTGTGGGGCAGTAGATAGGGCACTGGGAGACAGATAGGTGAGGACCTTGATGTCCGCCACGGAGGAGCCTCTAAGTGGCTGGTTCCTTCAATTCTGCTATGGCCACAGCATCCCTTCCAGGCAAGACCATGCACCCTCTGACCCTCCCCCAAAGCACGTTCCTGGCAGATTCCCATCAGGTTTCCAAGTGTACACACTGTTCTGGATGTTTCCTTAGACAACAAGGGCTGGATGTTGGCCCGAGCATCCAGACAAATCAATCAGAAGGGCTGCAGAAGACCATGGGAAGAAAATAAGGGAGGAGTGACAGATGGGACACCATGGCTCTACTTTGCGCTTATACAGAATGGTCAGAGATGTCACCATGATGCTGTCACCAAGCCAGCACAGTGGGACAGGCTGAGGAGTTCTGTGTGTCACACCTTGCCTTGGTTGATCAGGTGCTTGTGTGGCCTTGGATAAAGGAAGGACCACTCTGAGTCTCAGCTCTCTGAGGATCCCAGGGGAGGGTGGTGTGAATGTTGGTACCCAGAGGTTATCATTGGTCCAATGCAGACTCTGGCTTTCTTGCTGTAGAAGTGATCTGCTGAATGTAGGCGACTACATCCGCTCAGTGAACGGGATCCATCTGACCCGGCTCCGACACGATGAGATCATCACACTGCTGAAGAACGTGGGCGAGCGCGTGGTGCTGGAGGTGGAGTATGAGCTGCCCCCGCCCGGTGGGTGCCCTTGGACAGGGAACCCTGTCCACTGCCTCAGGCATGGGGGTCACAGCTGCCTCCCTGCCCAGGCCTAGGGGGCATTGGGGATCACCTAGACAGGGTGGGTGATGTCTAGAGGCTGGCCACACATGCTAGGGCATGAATACAGTATGTTGTCACCAGGTGGTGGTGGGACCCTACTCATAACTTGTCATTTTGCATAGTTGGATCAAAAGGAAGGTCTGGGGACATGGACTGAAAAACCTGTTCCCTAACCCTTCGCTCCTGACCCTACTGCCCTGCACTGAGCACAGAGGCCTAGGACTTCTCCCAGCTCTGAATTTTCAATGTTAGTCTAAAGGCTTAACTGGAGTGATGGGAAGCAAGCCTGGCCTAGCGCCCAGTCTTGCTTCATCCTGTGCTCTGCTGTGGCCCTCATGAACAGTCAGGTCCTCTCCACTGTCTGTGGTGGACTAGGTGTGGGCAGAGATAAGGAGCTCCCAGTGCCCCGCCTCCTCTGCCTGTAAAGTAGAGAGAGGTCAGCTGTCACTGTGACTCTATGACTGGTCACTTCACAAGTCTTGGGCACAACTATCAGCACAGAGATGTGACAGAGAGACTCAAAGGAGGCCTCGATTTCTCCATAGCTCCCGAAAACAACCCGAGAATCATTTCTAAGACAGTGGATGTCTCCCTCTACAAGGAAGGCAATAGCTTTGGATTTGTTCTCAGAGGTCAGTGTGACAGTCATCCTTGGAGTTGGGATGACAAGAACAAGGTCGTTGAGAATCCATGCATGTTCTGTGTTACATTAATAATTGCAGCATACATTCTGCTTAGAACTTTATCTCTTAGATGAAGTTCTCTTATCTCTTTATCTCTTAGAACTTTATGTCTGTGTGTGTATGCAACATGGCATGTATGTAAGGGTCAGAGGACAGCTTGTAGGAATCAGTTCTTTCATTTCATTGTATATATGGGTTCTATGTACCAAACTCAGGTCATGAGGCTTGGCAGCAAAGAGCTTTACCTGAACCATGTCTCACTAGCCCTTGCTTAGGACTTTAAAGGACCCTGGACCACTGACTGAGTCAAACATTAAGTGGACAATTGTGGGAAACAATGAAGTATGCACAGCTGATGAGAGCCCAACAACAGAGATGGTAGGGAAAGATTCGCGCCAAAGTTAGGAGTAACTGAGTAACTAGGGCAAAAGGAAGAGAGGATGAGGTCACAGGAAGTGCATGCTGTTTGAGAGGATGTGGATTGTTTCTTATTTCTCATCCCACCTGTGGGGAAGGAGGATGCTGAGCTGGCATTAAGGACTTTGCTTACCAGGGAAACTTCCTGTTGAATTCTGTCCAGGAGGTGCCCATGAGGACCTGCACAAATCCCGCCCATTGGTCCTGACTTACGTGCGACCTGGTGGCCCAGCAGACAGGTGAGCCTGCCTGAGGCAGAAGCATCTGCATCCTCTGGCCACTTGACACATGTAGATGTGGGTGCTGTGGGGCCATCTGAGGCCCTGCATCTTCACATCACTTCCCAGATGGCAGACTGAGGCCAGGAGGGGACAATCTGCCCAGAGTCACTCAGGGAATTAGTTGAGGTGGCTAGGAGAGACCCCAGCTTTCTTCTTCCCAGGGACCTTCAAACTCGGCTTGTGGCAAAATGCTGTGGGCCTTGTGACTGGCCATCACTGGGACTGTCTGTGAAAGCCTCTTAAAACCCAGCACTGCCTGGCTCAGCCCACCAGTGTCTAGAGGACAGGGTGTGGGAGAGGAATATGTCCAGGCCCTGCCCCATCCCCTGACCCCTCACCCTTGATCTCTGAACAGGAGACTCCTGACCATTTTAAGAGAAGCCCAGACTAGGCTTGTTGTTGATCTAAATTTGTCTTTGGTCTGAGGCCCTACATGAGTCACTATTCATAGAACCTCCTGGAATAGCTTTGGCACCTGTCAGGGGTGACATTCCAGGGCAGGGATTAAGCCCAAACTGGAGCCCTGTTGAGTTCTTTCCCAAGCTCATCTGTCACTAGGCCAGAGTCACCACTGGAAAATCAGGGTGGGGACAATGGGAGGAGACTCTATAATGGGCAACATGGTGCCCATAGGCCACCCCCATCTCTGATGCTGTGTGTCCCCAGCCAGATATGCCTCTGGTTCAGGAGGTGAGTGAGTATTCTTGAAGAACACCCCTAGCTCAAACATGCTGTGATGTAGAAGGCATCAGAGCTGGCCTGGCACATTTTACTTGCCCTCTCTGTCTGTTCAGCCCTAACTTCCTCAGGCTTCCCTGCATCCACTGACATCTCTGTGCCCTTCAGCTGACTGGTCTTTCACCTCCCCCACAGGGAGGGCTCCTTGAAGGTGGGTGACAGACTGCTCAGCGTAGATGGGATACCACTGCATGGGGCCAGCCACGCTACAGCAATAGCCACCCTGCGACAGTGCAGCCATGAGGCCCTTTTCCAGGTGGAGTACGATGTGGCCACCCCAGGTACGCTGGAGTCTGAGGGCAAGGGCTAGGGCAGGAAGAGGTCCCAGATGCTCAGCATTACAAAGGCTGTGTGATCTTGGACCGGTACCTTAGCCTCTCTGAGTCTCTTGATTTTGTCAGGCATCTCCTGATTTCACTGGGGATCTTGTAGGAACAGTACAGGTGAAGTCTCTGGTCCTGTGGGGGAGGGAATGTCAGTTAGCATACTGAGTAAGGCAATGTGTGTTAGGTGGCAAAGAAAAGAGCATAGGGAGAGGAAAACCAGCACATGTGTGTGCACACACACATGCACACACAAGCAGCCTGCCCATAGGTTCTAACCAGGACATGAAGTGAAGGAGTGAACCTTTGGGGAAGCTCTAGGTAGCATGTGTACATACAAAGGCCCTGGGGCAGGAGTATTTGGCCTGAGAGTGCAGCGCCAGCCTGGCTGCAGGGGAGAATCCAAGGCAGAAGCAGTGGAGGCAGAAGCCCCAGGGCTACAGAGTGAGGAGCTGTCTCGGGGAGACCTGGTATCAGACCAGGGTGCTTGAGGTGCAGATAGAGGATGTTTCTGAAATATGATGGAGGCCCAACCTGATTTGCTGGTGGCTGTATGTACCGCTTCCCCTCCATGCCACCCCTTTCCTCAGTAGTAAGGGTTAAAGGACAGGAGGGCTACTCCAGGTGGGACAGTGAACATGTTTACTTTCTACAACTCTTTCTCTTTGTTTTCCTCTCCCCATCATTCCAGACCCCGTGGCCAATGCTTCAGGTCCATTGGTGGTGGAAATAGCCAAGACCCCAGGATCTGCCCTGGGAATCTCTCTCACCACTGGCTCTCACCGGAACAAGCCAGCTATTACCATCGACCGCATCAAGCCAGCCAGCGTGGTGGACAGGTGAGACAAGGCAGGGGAGTGCAGAGCCGTGGCAGCCCGTGGCTGTGTCCCCTAGACCAGCCCCTCTGTGCCCCTGTCCCACAGGAGTGGTGCCCTGCATGCTGGAGATCACATCCTGGCCATCAATGGCACCAGCACAGAACACTGCTCACTGGTGGAGGCCACCAAGCTCCTGGCCAGTGTGACTGAGAAAGTACGGCTGGAGATCTTGCCTGCACCCCAAAGCTGTCGGCCCCTGAAGCCCCCAGAGGCAGGTAGGCAGCTTAGCAGGTCTGGGAACCCAAAGTTGGGATGAGATGGGGAGAATGGGAGAGTCACCAGAGTTCCGGGATGGAAGCCCTGAGCAGACAGGAGGACTGTGTGAAGCTCGTACGCTGCCACACTTGCCAGGGAAACTGAAGCTGCACAGGGTTCTGTGGGTAGCACTCATCTGGGAACCTCTGGGCCATGGCCTGGCCTTCCTGCCTGTCACTGCAACTGATGCCTGGGCACAGTGCTTGGCACATAGTGGGTGGCAATGTGTGTGATCAGGGTGTTCCTTGCCTCACTGGCTTGGACAGGGCAAAGATCTTGGATCTCACTGTGTGTGTTGGGGAACTAGTCTGCTGAGTGGCTCCAGACATCTGTGATACTTTCCTCTTCCCTCTGCCACAGTGAGAGTACAGAGGAGTGAGCAGCTGCACCGCTGGGACCCATGTGTCCCCTCTTGCCACAGCCCGAGGCCAAGCCACTGCAGGGCCCCCACCTGGGCACCTGGAGGCCAGGACCAGAGTCGATGTAATGTACCTGCTGCCGCAGCATGGCTGTCATCCTTCCTGGTGGGCGGCGTCTATTGTATGGGACACTGGAGCAGAGGGCTGCCCCTTGTCATTCAGCCTGTCCCTAGAGGCCTGTGGAAATCCTAGTCAGGGAGTCACACAGTAAGGGACTTTGGTGAAGGGCAGAGGGGATGCCTGTCTCTGTCTATGTGGCTGTATGGTTCTCCAACTCCACCCCTGCAGACCAGGGCCCTTCTGGGGCTCACAGGGCTGTGCTCTGATCTCCCCAGCCTTGTCCTCAACTCCCTTCTCCTCACCAACCGTGAACCCCGCCTTTCCCTGTGCCAACGCCAGCACCCTGCCCCGAGGACCCATGAGCCCCAGGACAACAGCAGGGCGGAGGAGGCAGCGAAGGAAAGAACACAGGAGCTCTTGTAAGCTGGAGGCCGTCCCCATGGGGCCCCAGTGTGGCACAGCATGGGGCTGGGGGTGAGATTTGGGGTAGTGTGCCAAGTAGGGTGAAGAATGGACTTAAACATGCAAGGCTCACCCTGGTCCCCTGGGTGTGGTGGGCCACACATTGGAGTTCCCAGCCATGACAAGAAGGAGCCTCTGAAGCTCTTGTGTTCAGTGTCTGAGGTCTGTCACCAAGAGCCTCATAAGATCATTCTTGTGATGTGTCCAAAGAAACCCGCAAGGACAGAAATAGGTTGAGGATAGATTGCCTGTGGTAAGATGCAGGTTCTGGGGCAATGGGTGAGGAGTTAGTGATTCCTTTCTTTTTCTGGTTTGAGACAAAGTCTCACTATGTGGCCCAGTCTGATGTAGAATTCAGTCTTCCTGCCTCAACCTCCCAAGTGCTATGATTTCAGCCATACACCACCAGACATGGCCAGGGGTTCCTTTGGGAGGGAGGGAATGACAATGCTCTAAGCACCACTTGGTCCATCCTGGGATGTGAACAGCATGTTCATCCAGCACATTTATCATGTATATGCTTCTCAACTGTCAATCACTCTATACCATCTCTATTGGCCAGGTTGGCAGATGTCTGCTTACTGTACTGAATAATTCCCAAAGAGCAATAGCCGTGGGGCGAGGGGTGTATCTCAGGCAGTAGATTGCTTTCCTAGCATGTATGAAGTCCTGAGTTTTATCCTTAAGTACAGAATAAATGGGCAAAGTGACATATGCCTGTAATCCCAGCATCCAGGATGGGGAGATAAGAAGGTCAAAGTCATGCTCAACTACGCAGAAAGATCAAGGCCAGTCTGAGCTACATGAGACCCTGTTTCAAAACAAATAAAAAAGTGCTATAGTAGTGATTCTAGTAATTTTTTGAGAACATACTGGTATAATAATTATATTTTATCATTAGCTACAGTTAATCTCTTTCTTCCTGAGATTTGCTTGTAGGTGAATTCTCATCATGGGTGTCTGTAGACTTCAGTGCTATCCATAATTTCAGCCATTTCCTGGGGTCTGGGAACATATGTTCTATGGATACAGGGGGTTCTGTAATATAATAAATAATACAGGCTTCTGAACCTCTGTTTTACAAAATCACAGTCTCTAACTCCTAGCCACTGGTTGTGCAGGGCAGACGCCATAATGCCCCTGCACAGACATAGAAACCCAGACCCATCCCAGGTGGCCCCGGGATTCCTGCACACCTGCCACTCTGGCTCCCAGACCTCTTGAGGACTCTCAGTGGGCAGCTCTGGAAGGCCTCACCAGTGTTCTTCTGAGCATTAAACCCTCCTTTCCCACAGTGTCACTGGCCTCCAGCACGGTAGGGCCAGGTGGGCAGATTGTTCATACGGAGATCACGGAAGTTGTGCTCTGTGGAGAGCCCCTCAGTGGCTTCGGCCTCCAGCTCCAGGGAGGCATCTTTGCCACCGAGACCCTGTCTTCTCCACCACTGGTGCGCTTTATTGAACCTGACAGCCCTGCTGAGAGGTGAGCCCACTGCCTTTATGGGCCTGCAATTTGGGGAGCTCAAGCCCTGTGGATAAACTGAGTCACAACTATGGGCCCCAGCTTCACAAATATACCTTTCTTAATCACCATATTGTCCCTACCTCCAGCCCATTTTACAATTAAAGAAGGGGAGGCTCAGAAGGGTGGGTACACTTACCTAGAATCACAAAGTACCTAAGCCCTGCTGCCTGACTGCCTCTGGGACTCGGTGTGTCTTGTGAGGACAATTGAACCATCTCCAGTGAACAGACAGAGAAACTGAGGCCCAGCAAGCTTAAGCCCTTAGCTGGAGGGGGTGCTTGTCACAGAGACCAGGAGCCGAGAGTGGGCCCCCACCTTGCATCACAGCTGGGGTTCAAGTCATTGGCTTCTTCTTCCCACTGGGCTCTGGGGGTTAGGTGTGGTCTGCTGCAGGTAGGGGACCGTGTCCTAGCCATCAATGGCATTGCCACTGAGGACGGAACTATGGAAGAAGCCAACCAACTGTTGCGGGATGCAGCACTGGCCCGCAGAGTTGTTTTGGAGATCGAGTTTGATGTGGCAGGTGAGTAGACCACCCATCTACACACACACACCCTGAGACCCTGGTCCCCTCACCCCCTTTCTGCTCCCTGAGACCATGCACAGTAAATGCCTAACCCCTGCATAGGGAGGTGGGAGTGCCATACAGGAGTCAGGAGGACAGAGTGGATTGCGTGCAGCAGGGACATAGAGTGGGACTGAAGGTCTCCGGAAGCTAGATCAGGGTGTTTGGTCCTGGGAGGTCTACACTATGTGGATAGGACACTGCCTTCCTCTGCCATCTGTTTCCCCATCTGTCAAACAGCGGGAGACAGGGGTGTGGAATGAATAAGTGACAAGTTGTGAAAGCGCCTGGATCCAAGGGGGCCAAGTTTTGTTGCAAGCCCCACACTGGCTAGCAGGTACCATCTCTGGCCTCTGCCTTGTCTCAGCTGTTTGGAGCCAAACTGTCAGCCCTCTAGGCCTCAGCTCCCCCCTACATCAGGCAGAAGCAGCTGGGTAGGGCTGGAACCGTCACTTTCTGATATTGCCCTGCCCCAACCCATGAGAGCCAGAGTGGGTGCAAGATGCTGATCTCTGAGCTCTTCCGGAGTCTCTTGTCACCCTTGGCTGTTGGTTCACAGAATCTGTCATCCCAAGCAGTGGGACCTTCCACGTGAAGTTACCCAAGAGGCGTGGCGTGGAGCTGGGCATTACCATCAGCTGTGAGTCCTCTTGTCACCTTAGTGGTTTACCTCACCACATCTCCACAATGGGCTGCAGCCTGATTTATAGAAGGGAAACTGGGGCACACAGAGGTGAGATGATTTGTGCACAGCCACCCTGCCAGGAAGTAATGGGATCAGGAGTCAACCGTATCTTCTCACAACCCCACCTTAAACAGGGGCCCTTCGAGATTAAATTCACAGCCTGTCTCCCCTGCTCCACAGCAGCCAGCAGAAAGCGAGGAGAACCCCTGATCATCTCTGACATCAAGAAGGGCAGCGTTGCACACAGGTGGGACACCACATGAGCAGGGGAGTGGCCATGGGGGGGCAGTGCCCACCTGTGCACCAGGCTCCTCCCATCTGCACCCCCACTCATGCAGGACTGGCACCCTCGAGCCAGGCGACAAGCTGCTGGCCATTGACAATATCCGCCTGGACCACTGTCCCATGGAGGACGCTGTGCAGATCCTACGCCAGTGCGAGGACGTGGTCAAGCTGAAGATCCGGAAAGATGAGGACAACTCAGGTATGTGCCTGGGAGACCACGTCTGATGGCCACCTGCTCCGGAGAGCTGGGAGGGCTTGTGCATGGATCCCTGCTACCCACATTCCCATGCTCCAGGACCCTCAGGAGCCACTGCAAAGCTCCCGAGTGTGAGATATTGACAGGACTGATGTGCAGGGCTGATATCTGAGTGGCTTGCGGGTTGCAGGGCTGGTCCTGGCATAACAGAGGCTGGCCTGAACTGGTGAACAGGGAAAGAAAAGGGGAAAGAGGCAGGAGAAGCATAAGGGGGTGTTGAGGAGTGTGACAAATGGAGTGTGAACCTCATAGCCAGAGAGGCAGTAAGTTTGGGGCCCTCACCCTGGAGAAGACGCTACTGGTGACCAGTCTTGTTTTTTTTTTACCCCTCCCCTTGTTTCCCTTGTCTCCTGTTCTTATTTCGTTCCTGCTTCTTTTTTTTAATTTCCTTTTTACTCATTATTTTTGTTTATTTTGTTTTTATGTATATGGGTGTTTTGTCTGCATGTATGTCAGTGCACCACGTGCATGCCTGTTGCCCAGGGAGACCAGAAGAGGGAGTCAGAGCTCCTGGAACTGGAGTTACAGGTGGTTGTGAGCAGACATGTCGGTATTGGGAATTGAACCCCATTCCTCTGGAAGAGCAACCAGTGCTCTTAACCCTTGAGCTATCTCCAGCCCCTGCTTTCATTTCTTTCCCCTTTCCTTGTGTTTGTCTTACCCTCCCCTCCTTCCTTTCCCGGTCCTTCCTCCTCCCTCCCTCCTCCCTCCCTCCTCCCCTCACTTCTCTCTCTTTTCTTGGCTGTAAATCTTGAGTTGCTATGGGTGGCATGTGAATCTGTGTTTCTATATCTTGGTTCCATGTAGTGTTTTTCTTTCTTCCCTTCATGGCACTTGGGCAGCAGGCTGGGAGCCTGAGGTGACCTCCAGGTCCCCAGGTTGTACCCTGAAGGCCTGAGCAGGTGTGTGAGGGGTTGTTGAAGTCATAGGTGGTTGGAGAGTACTGAGGCTGGGGAGGGGTGGGGACCAGCCCTCCCCATCCTGGTCCCCACCCTCAGGAGTCTGTCCACTTGTAGATGAACAGGAGAACACAGGCGCTGTGAGCTACACGGTGGAGCTGAAGCGCTATGGTGGACCCCTGGGCATTACCATCTCCGGCACTGAGGAACCCTTTGACCCCATCATCATCTCTGGCCTCACAAAGCGTGGCCTGGCTGAAAGGTAAACTCTGTGGTGACACAGGAAGTCCTGGGGACAACCAGGAAGCAGAAGGTGGGCTTTGGGACCACCCAATCTAGATTCTTACTTCTGTTTCAGCATTGAACAACTCAAAGATAATCACTTCTCTGAGCACCCGCTCCCCATCCTTCACAGGAATTTTGCCTAGCCCAGCAAGCAGAGCAGAGGAAATGGGGACAGAATGGGCCAGGGGACCACAGCTAAAGGGTCCAGCAGGGCAGAGTTGCCTCTGAGAGTCTGTCCCCTTAGTGTCAGCACTATGAGGCCTCTATGTGTCTGAATATCAGGGGTAGTGCCCCATTGCTAGACCCCCTAGTGAGGCTTATCCTGAGACCCTGGGGCTTCTGGGCTGCCTGCTACTCAGAGTCTCTGTGGCTGTGCCAGCGAAGGAACCTTGAGAAGCAGGTATCCTGACTTCCCCTTGGTGAGGTAGATAGAGGTGATGGAGGACCTGGGTGAGTGAGCCCCATCTTTCAGCTTTAGCTTTGCAAGGGATGAGTCAGGGGCACTAGGAAGTGTGAGTTGCCCTGCATAACAGGGCAAGTGCTGGTGTGAAGAGTGAACTTCATAGGGTCTGAGCATCCAGCGCAGCTGTCTAGCCAGGATCCTAGCCAGAGTCCAGACTCAGGCTGGACTGCTCCTGGAGCGCCCTCTACTGGATTCTAGAGAGACTGCAGGGGCCTAGTGGAGCCTGGGGACTCCAAAGTGCTGGCTGGAATGGTGGGTGGTTCACAACTTTCTAGGCAGGGCAGAATAGTCCAGAGCAGCTGCAGTCCCTGCGGCCTTGCACTCCAAAATGGCTTTCTGAGTGAATAGAAATTACTCTTAAATAAATATGCATTTCAACATGTAACCAACATGCATTTTTTAAAGCTATCGTGCAAAGTAATGGATTTCATCATGGCATTTTCATAAGAACATGCCACCATTTGTTCTTACTCCTCCCCCAAGGCCAAGCCTCTATCCCTGTGCCCCCCTCCTCCTGATCCCCTTCCTTCCCTTACATAGCCCCCTCCTGTTCAGGTCCCAAGTATCCACCCACTCTCCTCTATTTCCCCTGTGCCCCTGCTCCCTTATAATCTGGTCCCTGTCAAGGTCCTTTTATAATTGCCAGAACCCCTCCCTATATAATTTTAAATCTAGCTTCCACATATGAGAGAAGACACACATGATTTGTCTCTCTGAGTCTGGCTTATTTTTTTCAGCTTAATTATTTCCTACAAATTTCATTTTTCCCTTTAAAGAATTGTTACCTTGAACCCCACCTGCCACCTGCCTCCGTCTCCCAAGGGCTGGGATTAAAGGTGTGCACCGCCACACTGGGCATCTATTTTCAGTTTCTTGAGAAGCCTCAACATTGACTTCCTTAGAGAGTGCCAGGCCAGCCTGTGCTACATAGGCTAGCCTGTGCTACACAGCAAGACTTGTCTCAGAATGAGAGGAGGAAGAGGGTGACTTTGAGTTGAACTAACAGAGGTACAAAGCCTAGAATCAGGGGAAGAATTGTCCAGCAGAAGCTCTGAAGATGACTTGGATCCTTCGCCCCTCTCTTTCTCTCTCCTCTTCCCTCATTCTCTCTCTTCCCATCTCTCTGAGGTGGGAGGGGGCTCAGGATTCCCCTGTGTTTCTGGAACACTGAGAATACCAGGGTGTGCCGATCTGCCTGACTATCCTTCCTCATACACAGCTGGAGCCAGCCAGGCCTGTGCCTTGGGCCTCTGTGGGGATTTGAAGGCAGAACCAACACACTCTGAGGCCTGAGCATCTGGACCTCATTTGTGCTCTCTGTCCTCTCTCAGAACTGGTGCCATTCACGTGGGGGACCGCATCCTGGCCATCAACAGTGTGAGCCTCAAGGGCCGGCCCCTGAGCGAGGCCATCCACCTTCTGCAGGTGGCAGGGGAGACTGTTACACTGAAGATCAAGAAGCAACTAGACCGTGAGCCTTGCCACTTCCTGGGGATCTCCTGGCCTACAGAGGAAGGCCAGTCCTGGGTCTGGCTATGTGCCACCAATCCAGAGAGAGGTTGGGGTCCTTGGACCAGCTGATGAGGAGGCCTAGAGAGAGGGGCCCTTTGCCATAGTTGCACAGTGGAGTATGGGGTACACTTTGGGTCTAAATCATGCTCCTCACTGCTTCATATCTCTTCAGGTCCCTACATGTTCCTATGTCCTATGTTCCTATGTTCTATGTACGCCACAGTTTATCTGAGTCTTGGGGGTCTTCTTTTTAATCTGGCCTCCACTGTTATTTACCAGATGACCTTTGACTTACTGTTCATCTTCACAAACCTCAATTTTCCCATCTGTGTGATGGGTTTACTTACTAGTATGCCCCATTCACATGGCAGCAGCCAGATTGCCAGGTGCCTGGTAGTTCCCAGAGATAGGGAAACTGAGTCTCATAGAGCATCTGTGTCTCTGAAGTCACAGGTGATACTCCTCTTCCCAGGTCCCTTCCTCCCCCGCCAGTCAGGCAGCCTCAGTGAAGCCAGTGATGTGGACGAGGACCCTCCAGAGGCCCTCAAGGGAGGCTTGCTGACAGCCCGAGTCTCACCTGCTGTACCCAGTGTGGACAGTGCTGTGGAGTCCTGGGGCAGCTCGGCCACAGAGGGTGGCTTTGGGGGCCCAGGTAACGAGCCTGGGATCTTGGACCGGCTCTTGTGGAGGTGATCCCATTGCCTGCCCCTCTGGAACCTTCTCTCTCAGCTTCAGAGGAAGCTCCTGAGGGTGACCTGACCAACTCCACCCTTCCCCTGCCCCTTGGAGGACTCTGTAGTCCCATCTTTCCTCATCACGAGCTGAGCACAGAGCATCTTCCATTCTGTCTCTCTCCTTATCCCCATACCTAGCACATAGCAAGTGTCAGCTCATGTTCATTATACACATGTGAGAAGTGACAATGCACAGGTGAGAAGGCAGACAATGCTCTCTTTGCCAGTGTGGCTGAGGCCCACTGGAGCGGCCCTCTGGCCTGTGGTTTAGGCTCAAGGAATTAGAGAAGCATCTAGGGGTTCGTGATGGATCCCCACTCTGTTTCAGTTAGGGCCTTGGCTCTCTCTCCCTGAGTGTCCCCATCCCAAACTCCAGGGAGCTTATGCTCAGGACTCCCTGCTTGTCTTCAGGGCTCCTGCAGGCAGGTCTGGGAGTGTGGGCCAATCAGAAACTCCCTCTCAAGGAGGCCCATGAGCAGGCCGCGCCTGTGGAGCTGACCATGGTGCTGGAATTTCAATGTCACCTGCTGGATGGCTGGATGTTCCAGGGACTTGCTAGGGTGACCTGGACTTCTGGTCTCTCGGGTCACTTGAGCCTGAGAAGGGTACAGATCTGCCCAGTGGTATCCAATTACTGGGAATGAGGGATGGCAAGACAAGGATGGAGAGAAGACCTACATCCCTCTCTCCACCTCCAGGCTCCTACACTCCACAGATGGCAGTTCGGAGTGTGACTCCCCAGGAGTGGCGTCCCAGCAGACCAAAGAGCAGCCCCCCACCCATTGAGCCCCGGAGGACAAGCTACACACCTGGCCCTGCTGATGAGAGCTTCCCGGAGGAGGAGGAGGGGGACTGGGATCCACCGATGAGGTCTGTGGTGGGAACACTAAGTGGGGGAGGTAGCCAGAGGGTAACAACATCAGGACAAGGAGAGCTGGGATGACAGAAAAGCATTCCTGGCCTGAGGAACAGGGCTGGAAAGGGTGGCCTGTAGAAAGATAGCAGCAAACCTGTCCTAGTGAGACAGCAGCCCGGCTTGCTCCACCTGAGTCTGTGTGAACTGCAACACCAGACTCAGAATGTGAACCCAGACTCACTCTTCAGCTCAGACTGCATGAGGCATGACCCTCAGTTCACAGCCACCAGTCCTGGGCTGTGCATGTTGCATGTGTATGACTGGGCTGGTCCAGCAGCCAGCTCCCAGAGTGGGTCCCCACAAGAAACACCCATGCCTCCTCTGCCTGGGTTCTCCTCTCTATCTGTGCTAGCATTGTTCTCCTTAAGAGCAAAGCCAGGACTTTGAGAAATGAGAACTTTGTAAAGCATGGTGTGGCAAATGGCCAAGGGCTCTGAGAGCTGTCAGGGGTCAGGTGGGCCACCAGGATGGGTGCCATCCACCCTTCCCCCAGCACAAATATCCCACCTTCTCCATCTATCTGTGTCCTGGCTGGTTCTGGTTCTGTCCTGTCACTGTTCCGTGGTGCCATGTGTCTGGGTGGGATCAGAGGCTGTCTTCTGGGGCTATCCCATGGATCTTTCTGTCTGTCTCTGTCTTCTGTCTGTCCGTTTGTCTTTCTTCTCAGGCGTCCTGTGTCATCGCTTTCCACCCCGTCTCATCTGCCCCTGTTCTAATTGGCCACCAACAGTCACCCCTGCGTCTCTCCCCCCCCCCCATTCTGTGTCACCAACCACTGCCCTGGGGCCCCAGCACTGCCACCGAGGACACCCGCCTGCCTGCCTGCACACCCTATGGTCCCTGGAGCCCAGAACTGTGCCCTGGGCAATGAAGACTCCTCAGGCCCGGCCCGCCCACCCTCCTGCCTGCCAGGAGTTGACGCTGTGGTTCCTGTTGCAGCCCAGCCCCTGGCCCCGCCCGAGAGGAGGGCTTCTGGAGAGTGTTTGGAGAGGCCCTTGAAGACCTGGAGTCCTGTGGTCAGTCAGAACTACTAAGGGAGCTGGAGGTACTGTTACCTGGCCAGAGGACCTGCTGGGCACCATGTCTAGGCACACTGAAGGGCTGGGGAAGGCTACACATTGATAGGGTCAAGCTCCTATGTCACCTGGGGATGTATAACATCTATATGACAAAAGCCACTTTAAAAAGGAAGGTTTGGGGCTGGAGATGGCTCAGTGGTTAAGTGGAAATCCATGTAAATGCAGAGTGGGCATGGCAGCCTGCTTGCAAATCCCAGCCTCTGGAAGGAGAAGTCAGGGAATACCCAGACCAAGCTAGTCAACAGATTAGCTATTGAGATCCTGCTGCAATTAATAAGATGAAAGAGCAATTGGGTGGAGGGGTTGATTCTGGATGTCAACCTTGGACCTCCTCATGCACTCAGACACACATGCCTGTGCACCCCCATACATGTGCACATATGCCCATGCAAATACACATATCCACATATGCATATCACATACATACATGATAAATTGAAATGGTGAGGGGGATTTGTTTTGGCCCACACTTCCAGGACACAGTGCATCATGCCAGCACATGAGGCCACAGCAGCAGGAGAGTGCTAGTCACTTATCTGCATCGAGGAAGCAGAGCCTTGAATGCCGTGCTTGCTTCTATATTCCCTTTTGTTCAGTCCAGCCCATGGGTTGGTGCTGCTCACATTCAGAGTGGATCTTCCCTCCTCAGTGAACCCAATTTAATGGACACGTCTCCAGGCTTATCTCCTCACTGGTTCTGAGTTCTGACAGGTTAATAATCAGCATTAACTGTTACTGTATGTGTCCTCTCACCTGGGCACCCTGGGTGTAAAGGTGTCTTTATACACAGACAGCTGTGAGGGACATGCACACACATGCATATATTTAAGGCATGCATGTCTGAGTGTGTGTATGGAGGTACTCTGAGGCCACCCTGCTGTCTTTGTGGATGTGTGGCATATACGCACGTGGTATGGGTGATGAGGGGGATATAGGGGCCAGCTTTGGGCAAGGTCGACATCACTCATGTATGAGACTGGAGGATCTGACAGTCATTCTGTGTTCAGTTTAGGGAACAACTGAAAGCTGATTCATCTGCTACCAACACCACCCCCATTTTACTCTAGCATTTGTTGCCTGAGGCCACTCCTCCATCAGCCTTGCCAATTAGCAGGTTTAAAAACAAAAACAAAAAAAACCCTCCTGTTTTGGTTTTTTTAATCTTTTCTGTTTGTTTTCTGTCTTGCTCATCTTAATATTCATTTTATTAGACATTTTTTTAAACATAAGTAAAGATACTTGTCCTGGTTTCTTAGCGATTTACTTTCTACTCTTCTTTCTTCATATAATATAGTTCAAAGCTATGAGGTGACCTGTAAGCCCTGAGTTGGCTGTGACCCCAAAGGTTTTGTTTGTGGGACTCTTGTTGTCTACTCAGTATCAAACATTTTAATGGTTTCTACTGCTGGGTGACTTAAACTCTTGAAATCTGCAGAAATGCATGTTTGGGATTGTCATTGTCAGGGTTTCTATTTCTGTGATAAACACCAGGAGGAAAGGGTTACTTCCACATCATAGTACATTATCCAGGGGAGTCAGGCCAGGAATGCAAGGCAGGAACTTGGAGTCAGCAAAAGATGAAGAGGCCTTGGATGAGTGCTGCTACTGGCTTACTCCTCGTGGCTTACTCAGCTTGTTTTCTTACACAGCCCAGGACCACCTTCCCAGGGTGGCACCTTCCACAGTGAGCTGAGCCCTCCCCCATCAATCTTCAAAAAGGAAAATGCCCTGTGGGCTTGCCCACAGGCCAATCTGATGGAGACATTTTCTCAGCTGAGGGTCCATCTTCACACATGACTCTAGCTTGTGTTAGATTGACATAACAGTATCGAGCAATTTCCTACTTTAATCTCTCTCCCAACTCACCAAGCCTCTCCTTGGCTGTATTTATCCCAATATTTAACCCAATTCCTAGAAATTCTTCCAATTTTTACATTTTTTATTTCCCTAACATCTCTGCTTTTCACATCTTGAGAATTTCTTTTTTAACATCCTTTTAGCTCCCTACTTTTTTGTATGTTTTAGACAGACTTAAATTTTCCCTTGCATTTTCTATTAGTACTAGCCACCAGAGTTCAGGTTCACCAGTCTGTTGTGTCTACATGGTCATGGTTGAGGTTTGGCTATCTGTTGTGTCTATGGTCAGAGTATAGGTTCACCTCTGATGGGTCTGTGGTCAGATGGACTTTCCAACTTCATTGCCGAGCTGCCTTAGCTGCAGTTACCCATGCCCTCTATTCTCTGTGGTAGAGGAGTATCCCTAAGGTCTCAAGTCTTTGAACTTCACTAGCTCCAAACTAGTTTTTTGCCTGCGTGTATATGTGCCCTACATGTGTACAGTTCCCACAGAGGCTAGAAAAGGGCATCAGAACTCAGGAGTGCTGATTACATAGGCTGTGAGTGCCATGATGTAGCTGCTGGGAACTGAATCCAGGTTTTCTGCAAGAGCAGCCTGTGTTCTTAACCACTGAGCCATCTCTCCAGCCCCTTTACCTTCTATTTTGAGACAGGGTCTCTTATTGAACCTGAAGCCTAGCATTTTGGCTAGACTGTCTGGCCAGTAAGCCCCATGGATCCACATTTCCATCCTCCATATAACCCTAGGATCAAGGTGCACACTTCCATGCCTCTACACAGGTTCTTGGGACCTTGACCCAGGTCCTCATACTTGTGCAGAAAGCACTCCCCCCACCCACTGAGCTACCACTTCAGCTCTCTACTCTCTAAGGACCCTTACCCTAAGATCCCCAGCCTCTGATCTTACTCGGTGGACTCTGGTTCTCCAAGAGGTGAGGACTACCTTTAAGAGATGTGCAAAAGACACCTACATCCACTGCACCAAGGTTCTCCCCATCTCCTCCCTGACAGCTTGCCTGGCCCTAAAACAATTGTTTTCTCAGTCTTCCTGGCACTTGGACATCAGTGCCAGGCAGAACTATCCACCAGAGTGGAAATTATTTCTAGGCTGGGGAGATACATGTGTGCCTAGGAAGCTGAGTATCACAATGGGAAAGGCTCGCCCTACTTTGACAACTCTGTGTCCCCTACTCATATGGTTTGTGGATGTTCCTTTCTAAATGTGGTACTCTCAGCTCACACTCACCTACCAGGCACTTCTGACTCTGCCCACTGCTCCATCCTTTGGCACGGCTCTGCTCCTTTCTCATCTCCATGCTTGTCCAGATGACCCTTTTCCTTTGACTTTTGCTTGGCAACTCCACAGTCCCACCATGTCCTTCCTGGCCACCATGCCCTCATAACACACACAGGTCTTCACTAATTACTTGTCCCAGAGTCACCCTCTTGCCACCATGGGATAAAAAGTCACATACTTACTGTAGGCTGCAGGCTACTGGAAGACCTTTATCCTCCAGGCTTTCCCACAGTCCAGCTTTGCAGTGTTCCCTCTGCCAGTGGTGCTCATGTCTCCCCTTCCTGTTGGAGATAGCAGCTCTGGGGACATCACTGGCTCCTCTCTGGCGCCTAGACTCTCACTTCCCATATGCCTTGATGATATGAGCCGAGGCTCAGAGCCCTAACTGTGGAGTCAGATTCTGAGTTCAAATTCTCTCACTAAACATATTTGTAAAACAGAAAATGGCTTGGTACTACAGAACATAAGATGAGTAAAACTTGTGATTGCTGAGAACCAAGCCCAGCACAGAGTCTGTCCTTAATTCCCAGAAGCTCTTGTTCTGATCCTGTGATTGGTTAATGGCCCTCCTCCACTGTGTTCACCCTGTGACCGAGCGCCTGCCTGACAGAGCCGGATGGAGTAAGTATATGGTGTCTGAGTGACAACCGTGTCCCCACAGGCTTCCATCATGACAGGCACTGTACAGACTGTGGCTGTGGATGGCAGACCTGGCCTTCGGCCCTGGCGCAGGAGCCGGGAGGTCCGAACATCCCATGAAGACATACAGGAGCTGCTGTTGCCAACGCCCCTGGAGATGCACAGGGTGGGCACTGGGGTTGGGGGTTGCAATCAGGCACAGAATGTGGGCACTGGGGGCCTGGCACCAGGAGGCGCTTAACTACTTGGGATGCTGAAGGCCTCCTTGCCTTGTTGAGCTTTATTCTCCCTCACTGAAAAATAGGGACTTAGGAGTTGGAAAGATGACTTAGCAGCTAAGAGCACCAGCTACTCTTTGAGGGACCCAGGTTTGATTCCCAACACCCACAGCAGCTAGAAACCATCTATAGCTCTAGTTTTGGGGAATCTGATGTCTCCTTCTGGCCTCCAAGGGCACCAGGCACACAATGGGTATGCAGACATACATGCAGGCAAAATATCAAACACATAAAACTTTAAAAACTTTAAAACTTTAAAAACCCAAACCAACCAATCACCACCAACAAAAACACCCAGGGATTTTTATTAGATTTTCTATAACCCTCACCATTTGGATAATTACACCCCACAACGGCTATTCATTTTTCAGCAAGCTTTATCCCTATATGCATGTGCACAGATACAAATATGTGTGTTACATACACACATGTATACACACACATGAAAGTTGCATATATGTATATGTACATATATTCAGTTAATCCTCCCTGCCTACAGGTTCTGAATTTAGTCCACCAACCACAGATCAAAAGTATTCAGGGAAAAGCTAGGCATGGTGGTATAGTTCTTTAATCCCAGCACTTTGGAAGCAGAGGCCAGCAGACCTCTGTGAATTCAAGGCCAGCCTATCTACATAGCAAGTTCCAGGCTAGCCAGAGCTACATAGCAAGACTATTTAAAATAATAATAATAATAATAATAATAATAATAATAATAATAATATAATAATAACAACAACAACAACAGTAAGTATTCACAGAAAAAAATCTGTATTGAACATGGCCTGACTTTGGACCTCATTCCCAGAGCACTGCAGTGAATCATCTACATAGCATTAACTATGGACTAGGTCCCAGAAGCCCTCTGCAGAGGACTTGGGCATGTGGGCAGGCAGGCACAGGTTCTATGCAGGTCCTACACCACTGAGCATCTGCATATTGGGGGATCCTCACAGGGGCCAGGAGATACCAAGAGATAACTTTACATGACACCATAGGCAAATGATTGACATCACCTTCTCTCCACCTCCTGCATCTCTTGCACCTGTGTGTATCTATAGAAGAACCAAAACATCAGAGCATCCTGGGCTTGGCCAGGGTGATGAAAACACTAAGATCCCCTACTCCACTCTCTAAGGGACCCTTGAGCACTGGAACATGCAGGTTGCACTTGGCAAGGTTGATATCACAGGGCACAGGCTCAACAGGCTGCTGAGGGCAGCCTGGAGTATGGCCAGCCAGTAAGCTGGGCCTGGATACCTGGGACATAATGGGGGTTGGAGCAAAGGCAACCCTCTCTCCTCCCAGGTGACTTTGCACAAGGACCCACTGCGGAATGACTTTGGCTTCAGTGTCTCAGATGGCCTCCTGGAGAAGGGTGTCTACGTCCACACTGTGCGCACTGATGGGCCAGCCCAGCATGGAGGTCTGCAGCCCTTTGATAGGCTTCTGCAGGTAACTCAGGGGGAGCCCAGCACTGGCCCAGGGACAGAGCCTGATTCCCACTATGAAAGCATGAGGAAAGGCCAGTGGGATGAGTCCAGTGAGGCTGCTCATACAAGAGCTGAGGTTCCACTCACTGTTGACTCCCTGGCTGAGAGGGCCTGCCTGTCTAGTAACTGTTCCTTGAGACACGTGACCTCCTTAGACTTCATGGTGGAGGAAATCACTTTCATCTATTTCTTGCCTTCACTCCAAACTATTATATGACAGGTCCCTTCCCAGCCTATAGCCAGAACCAGTCACACGATCTTCTCACAGAAAGGGAGTCTGGGAAACAGAACTATTCCTAACTCGGCCTCCAAGACTGCCCTTCCCTTGTTCCAGCTATTTTTGTCCCCTTGTTGACTTTGTTGTATTTGTTCTAGATGTACTTAATTTATGTTTTCTCCTAAATCTTGGTGGGGACAGGACTTCATTTCAGGAAAGTCAAACAAGATCTATCAATGAAAAGCACAGTTCTCACCTCAAAGGGGATGAGAGAGTTTACTCTGGAGTCATGAGTGATTGAAAGCAAGACAATTTTAAAAATATTGGTGGAAATCCCAGGTAGGCTGGTTACAGCAAGTCAGAAATCCATGCTCTAGGCCTCTGATGCCATTCTTAGCTTGGGAGGTTGGCAGAACCTAGTGATCACTTGATCATTGAAAGGATGTTAGGTGAGACATAGGTGGGCAAGGAATGGCTATTCAATGGGAACTAAGATCCTCAAGATAAGTTCTAAACGTTGATCCCGCCATGTTCCACCCTCTCTCTAGCTCATCAGTCTTATAGGTGCAACTTCTTTCTAGAACTTTCATTTATGGGAACTCTGTCCCTCGGCTATGTACTGTGCAGGTCAACCATGTTCGCACTCGGGACTTCGACTGCTGCCTGGCGGTTCCTCTCCTGGCAGAGGCTGGGGACATCCTGGAGCTGGTCATAAGCCGTAACCCACTGGCACAGAGCCGCCGGACACCACGAGTACCAGGCCCCAGAAGTCCTCAGATGCTCTGAGGTCATCCTGTATCTCAGATGGAGGAGTGGCCCACTCGTCCACTTGTGGGTCTGCAGATTCCACACCCAGTAGAGTAGCATCATAAAGTTGGATCTTCAAGATGCTCAGAGGACCCCACCTAAAAGGGGTCGGCCCTGCTGCTCAGCCAGGATAGAGTTTGGGACAGACCAGCTCAGTGTAATAACTGGAATGAGATGCCAGTGTTTCCCTTCCTGGGAGGCAAATAAACAGAAGGACAGTCCTAGACTGAGGCAAGAAGTGTTCAACGATCCAGCTGTACAGGTGGTACCCAATCACACAGGGACCCTGCCACTGGGAAGGATATGGCACAAGAAGAATAGCATCCTCCCTTGTTGTGACAGTCTCCAGCATCCAATGACCACACTGGGAAACCCCAATTAAGGATATTCGAGGTGCCAAGGAATGCTAGCCCTTCCTTCAGATTGGTGGCTCAACCATTTCAGCTTCACGAGTGGTTCTGAACCCCAGAGCAGAGCTGTGGCCATCACCTCTCCTGCTCCACAAAACCTTAGCCCAAGTCACTACTTGGGGTGGAAAAGTGCAGGAGCATCCACTCACCTGCTATTCCAGCAGATAGGGAAACAAGGTTGAGTCACAGCTCTGCCATCGACCCTATCTATGGAAGGAAGAAAGAGAAAGAGGAAAGAGAGAAGCTGACTGAGATGGAGGGGAAATGGCTGAAGGACAAGAGTGGCAAGAGGGATCAATGTCCAAAGAGGCTATTCAAGGAGGTCCCCACTTCACAGCTGGGGACACCAGCATCCCTTAACTCGGGCTTCCTCCATCTCGGCCAAGCAGAACCCTTTCAGCTTCAAGCAGGACCTAAGTCACCTCCCATTGGTCTGGGCTGAGGATTGGCTTTGTGTTTGCCCAGATCAAGGTCTCAAGGACCCAGGGGTCTCCAACCCAACCTCATCTCCCCTTCTCTGCCCTTGAAACTCATTGCCAGAAAGACTCCCTGTTCAAGAGGGCAGATGGGGGCCCAAGAAGCCATTCTTTACCCCTGGTTCCTTTCTTGGGTAAATCTGAGCAGACACAGGGCCATCTCCACCTATCCACTGAGACTACTTGGCTCTCTGCTCTTCTGTGGGTTCCCCCAGACCTTGCCCTTTGTGGTGGCTTCCCCAGGGTCCTTCATGCCTGTGCCCAGGTAATCCAGCATCTCTGCTTTCACTGCCCTAGGGTACAAAAATACTTCCCACCCATCACAGGCAACAAACAAATCAAGACCTTCAGCTTTGAGGGCAGGTGAATGACACAGCAGAGAGGTGACTCCCAGCCACCAGCACCTGCTACTGTGTGATCTTGGGCAGATGGCTCAGCCTCTCTAGGTTTCTGGTATGTGGCATGACTGACTGTACTCTAAGGGCCCTTTGACTTGGGAAATCTGTGTTCCACTCAAAGACTCCAGGCTCTGAAAATATAACTACTCCACCCCTGCCCTCCCCTCGGGCTGAGGCTCTCCCATCCTCCCAGACATATGCAACTAGGCCAGGCAGGTGGACCTCCTGGCCATGGCCTGAGGCCTTCTCATATGCAATATCCCCCTGGCTTCTTTCTCACAGGGGTGTTTACCCCACACAACAACCCTAGCTCCCTCCCCAGTGAGCATCCTGCCTGCCTATGACACCCCCACCCCCAGAGCTGTATTTTTCTCTGGCTAATATTAGAACATAGTCCTTGTAAAGTATTTTTCTATGTGGGTTTTCTTAGGGCTCCCAGAAAGCACCCAGCACACCCATGACTCCATTGTACAGGCTGGTCTGTGGTCTGTCTGGGGCCCATGGATAAATCTTTGTCCCACCAGATATCACAGTGACTAGGGGGAGATGAGTGCTATTGGGATGAATTTTTAATAAAATCGGTTATATGCACACAGTAGGTTGTTTGCTTTATAATATATATATATTTATATATATAATATTTATAATATATTATATATATATATATAATAACAGGTTGATGAGGTTCAGTTGCTGTGTGAATCTTGCAGCTGCTCAACTTCTCATTTGTTTATAAAGTGGTCCATGAAGCTAAAGAGATGGCTCAGTGGTTAAGAGCTCTTGGTTCTCTTGCAGAGGACCTGGGTTTGGTTCCCAGAGCCCACATGGTAGCTCACACAACCATGTGTAACTTCACTTCCAGGGGATCTGACACCTTCTTCTGACCTCTGCAGGCATTAGGCACACATGTGATATATGTACATACACAGACAAAACTCTCATAAAATGAAATCTTTAAACAAAAAACACTGGGCTATTTTGGGGGCTGGAGAGATGGCTAGTGGTTAACAGCACTTACTGCTCTTCCAGAAGACCTAGGTTCATTTCCCAGCACTCATAACCTCCCATAACCCCAGCTCCAGGGGATTGACGACCTCTTCCGGCCCCAATTAACACTGCACTCACATGCACATACCTACCACACACAATAAATAAAAATCTTTAAAAAAAAAAAAAGGGGGGGGTTGTATATCCTAGTGAAGACAGTGAGCTGGTCATAAAGTCCTTTTAGGAGGCAAAAACAAAACAAAGAAACAAACAAACAAACAAAAACAAAACAGTGAAAAAAACAACTTACTGGAACAGGGTAAGGAGAACTGTAACCCAGCAAGGACATCTCTGAAGGAGTGATAGTCATGGTAAGAATTGCAGAACAGAAGCTAGACCTGGAGGTAGTGTCCCAGGTATGTGGGGTTGGGGTGGGGGGCAGCAAGAATAAAGGACCTGTGATAAGAATGAGTCTAGAAGATTCTATGGCTCAGAGGCCTGGTGGCACTGGAAACTAGGCTGAGAGATGGGATGTGTCTTAGTCTGTTCAGCCAACCTTTGGCAGTGCTGAAGGGAGGTGCCAGGTGTGTAGTCTGGAGGTCTGGCTATTGCTTATAACTGGGGCAAGGTAAGCTCACTGGTTCTGGGGTCCAGAGCACAGGGCCAGGCCTGGGGGGGGGGGGCTTGCAGATCTAAGGGCAGAGAGAAGCTGTTCCCTCAGGGTTGTCAGTGAGTTCACTGTGTGGGGAGGGGCAGGTAGGACGCAAGGCACCTATGTGCCAAGCCTATGTGCCAAGCACAGCTCAGAACACTTTTAAGAATGTTTAAAATCTTCCTAGCAGCCTCAGGGAATGACTCTTTGACACATTTCAGAGGAGGGACTAGATCTGGTTGGCTAAGAGACCTGCTTAGAGGCACATAGGTTAGTGTAGGCTGAGACAGATGAAGGGAGAGAGGTGGACAGGGAGAAGGCCATCAAAAAGGCTGCAGGAACAGTGGTGAGGTGCTCTTTTATTCTGTCCCGTCTATGAAATCAGCCAGAGCAGACCCATAGTTGTCACCCACCCAAGATCTGGCTGGGAAGTCAATGTATCTTGGAGCAAACCTGGTCTGGGAACTTCCTCTCAGGGGTTCTTACCTCTGCTAATACAGGGAACATCCCTTATATGAAGACCTGAAATCCAAATTCGGAAACTGGAAGCATCAACACCCCAATACAGTGGATAATTCCACACTTGATATCATGTAGCAATTAAGCTAAGACAAAGGTGGTATTAGACCTGGGGCCGGGGGTGTGTGCAGTTCTACGACAGTCTGATTAAAGCAAGCTGTGTTTAGAATTGGCCAGCTGGCTGCCTCTCCCAAAGCTGGGATTACAGAGAGCAGCCTCTCACTGGTCCTTTTACAAGGAAGGGTTAGGGTTGATAGAAAACAGCGATTGAGAAAATCGGCTGTTAGCACCTAGACAGAAGAGTCAGGACTCAGAGCTCAAGGCTGCATGTGAGGTAGATAAGTGCAAGAACACATCAACCACATGGAAGGGGAGATACCAGGGCATCAGGGAAGATGTTTTTATAAGGTTAAAGAGCAGTCATATACCATAGGTTCAGGAATTTAGCAAGGTAAAAGGTATGGGCTAGTTTACAAGCATAGTTTTGAGGATAGTTGGGCTTAGGAAACAGGCACTCACTCTTGTAACAATGTATAACAATGTGGCTCATGCTTTGGCTTCATAGTGCCAGGCTGGGGAACTCAGGGAGGCTCAGTATAGGTGATGTGCTTGACTTTAAACCCATGTGAGTTTGCCATGCAGGGGCTAGAGAACAATCTAGTGATTGAGAGCTCATGCTGCTTTTCCAGGAGACTCTGGTTCACAGTTAACTGTAACTTCTTCTCTGGGCTCTGATGCCCTCTTCTGGCCTCTGTGGGCACTGCACTCATATGCACATACCACCCCTACCCCCCCACCCTATGGCACCCCCACAACATCACCCCCTCCCCAAACACACACATGTCTTCTTAAAAGCCAGGTAAAAAGTTCTTGCAATCCCCTAGCTGGGGAGGAGAGATCGCGGTGACTCCCTCAGGTTCAGAGGCCAGCCTATTCTAATTAGCCAGCCCCGAGCTAATGAGAGACCCTGTTTCAAAAGCCAAAGTCAGCAAATGCTCTTAACAGCAGAGCCATCTCTCCAGCCCCAGTGAAATCCCTTTATAAACTGTACAGTGCCTGCCAAAATGTAAAGGTGAAATAAAATCCAACACGCTGTTGGATTTTAAAAAGGAAATGTTTATTGTTGTGTTACAAGGTGATTATAAACTCCTCTAAAAAAAGCAAAGATGGATTTAAAATATCAATATACATATTCATCTAAAAAGCAAAAGAGGAAAAAACGGAACCCTGCAAAATGCAGGGACGTCATCATTAAACACCAATACACAGAGCTTATACACTGCAAGACAGGTCACACACCAAGGATCCTTCAAACAAGAACGCTCCTCCCCTTGTTGGTTGGTTTCAGGTTTTTCTGTGTGTGTGTGTGTGTGTGTGCGCGCGCGCGCGCATGCGTGCGCACGTTTGTTTTTTTATTTTTTATTTTTTACAAAAGTTTAAAATATCTTAAAAATATTTTGAAGTTTTAAAAAATGTCCTGATGAGCCAGACATATTTCTGAAGGAGGCAAAATGTACGTTCTCAGCTTTCTCTTGTGCTAAATACAGAGTCACAGTTGTTAGGGATTGGAAAGATTAATTGGGTTTAAAAAAAAAATGGAGCTACCATCTCATTTTGAAGCCAAATATGTAACAAGATGCTCTGCCCTTCAGGGAACATGCCAGAACATGCCTGTAATGACACCACAACCCTCCCAAAGAACATGGAAAACCAGCTTCCTGTGAAGACCCAACTACTGGGAGGTCAGCATGGAGGACGGGGGGTGGAAGCACTGTCCCCCTCCATCTTGGGGTATCTGGGGTTTTTGTATGTGGTTTTAGACTTGATGAAGAAGGGGTGTGCACACAGAGGTATTTACAATGTCCATAGGGACAGGGGTCTCGGGATTGAGTGGGACTGTGAGGGGCCTTCTCTAAGGTGCCTTCCTGGCTTGTGTCTGCGTCTTGGAGAGAGGAACAGGACTCGTGCCTATTTAGACTGATTGCCTAGAGCATTGCCCCGTCTGCCCAAAGAAGCAGGCTAGAAAGCTGTCAGCCATGGTAGTGGCACCCTACAATACAGAAAGCCCCTTCCTGTGCAGAGGGGAAACATGCTGCTTTCTTCTCATGCTTTGCCATGGTCTGCATGTTTTCCAGGGTGTTAGGAAGATAAGGTCTGGGGCCAGAAGCATAGAGGGAACCTTCCCCACCATCTTCCCAAGAGGGAAAGAAATCTCCTCAGGCTACATGGAGACCAAAGGCCTGCCATTACAGCCTGCCTAAATGTCTTTGGCCCTCAGTTTCCTGTGGTGCCAGTTGGGGTGTGGGATGGGAATCAATTCCTAGCTCCTAAGGGCTTTAGGGAGGAAGGAAGGATAGCATGGGGCTGGGGTGAGCCAGACACTGAGGATGGGCAGAAGTGGATGCTGCTCTTTGCTCCATGAGCATGGGCAGGGGGCCCATATCAGTCTGGCCTCTGGTTGTCAGGGAAGGCCTGACAGTTTACTTGACAATACCCCAGTCCTGCTTTCCTTCTGTCCATACCTTGGGGAGCCCAGAGCAACAAATGACTCAATTATCCAGTCTACTCAGCTCCCAATGCAAGTCTCTCCTACTCTAGGCCTCAGTTCTCCTGTTTACAAAAGTGCCTTGGATTGGGGGACCTCTGGGACTGTTTGCAGTGCCCAGCAGGGATCCTCCACTTGGAGACTAACATACCTCTTGGGACCAAATAACATCTCCCAGGAGAATCCTCCTGGGCCCAGCCTGGTCCTCATCTAAATCTGATATTGTACCTTGCTTCCTGCCCATATCTAACAGGCAGGATACAGTCTGACCTGTTCCAGGCAAGGGGACAGGTTAGTTGGTTGACAGCTTAGCCCTCTCTCCAAGAGGCAGGAGGACCAGAGTCACGAGCTCTACTTCAAAATGTTACTTACATGCAGACATAGAACCACAAGCATCACAACAAGGGCCATTGGGCCAGGGGCTGGGTGAGAGTGGCAGGCATTGAAGACCAGTGCAGGGACACTTTTGAGGAGTGGACTCTGGAGGCGGCTGGCCTTTATCCAGGCGGGGCCAGGGGACTTGGCCCACTGCGTCTTTGGTCTAGAATCTGGTCTGGGAATGATAAAAGGCCTTTCTCAGGCCATTTCCAGAATGGTGCCATTTGTCTGCCAACCCAAAATACTGAAGGCTCACCAGAGTGGCGTGCCTGGTGGAGGGGAAGAGCAGACAGGCATGACCATAGATGCTGCTGCAGCTGGATGGGCCCCCTCTCCCTTACACTTCACCTGTCTTCAATCACCCACAGTGGTGACTTTTAAGGTTCCATAAAACAAAAGAAAAACAGGGCACATTACAAATTGGTAAAATCGGGGAAGAAAAACTCCAACAGTCACAATAACACAAGAGCAACCAGAAATACACAGGACAATAGGAACATGGTAGAATCACAGGTGGCTGACTCAGCAACCACTGGAAGAGGACTAGAGGGTCACTTGGCAGAGTACATTGCTTTGGAGACAGAAAAATGTGTACATTTGTCAAAAAGAGGTTCAGGATGGCACAGCTGGGCCCAGTGGAAGCTGGGGGTAAAGATGTAGCGCCCTCTACTGGTTCAGAAGGAAACAGCCCTGCCTGAGGTCAGCCAGTTCTGGGGCATTGGTCTCTGTGGAGATAACCTCAACCTACACATTTCCCTTTGTCTTCTCTCTTTAGTTCCCTGGGGGAGGGGAGGCAAACACCTATCCAGCAGCCACTGCAGTGGCTTGGAAACAGTATCTAAGGTCACTACCAAGTTGACTCTGCACTTGAGTTTAATCCTTTAAGATCCAGTATCTATAGCCACTCTGAACATTTTGTGCAGGGAGCTGGATGACTCTTGGAAGTCATCTTTAACAAGAGTTTGCCAAGGAAGGAAAGTGCCCTCCTGGGGTACACTTGCCAGTCTGGGGTACACTCAACCTCCTGAGCTGCTAATATCCTTTGGTCCACTGGCTTCCTTCCCTCCTTCCTGGCCCTCACCAAATTGCATTCTGCTTAGGGAATGCCCTGATCCCCACCTGCCATGACTGTTCAAATACAACAGCCCCTTCTTGTGTGTAACCCTGACCCCAGGGTCCTGGCAGCTCCTGTGGACTGGCCTCACTCAGGTGACTGTATTAAATGCTCAAGAAAGGCTGAGGCTTCTGCCTAAGCCAGCTGAGGCTCCCAGCCCCCAACCGCATTCCTACCAGCCCTTTAGACTTCCCATTCCTGCCTCTAAGACCTGACTCCACCCTCTACTTCAAAATAAATGGGAGGGGTCTTGGCCTCGACTTTTCTTAGCTCTTAGCATCAATCCTTCATGAGGAGGGTGGGATTATTATTTTGGCATCTTTCTTGTTGGCTGAGAAAGAGAGAGGGTTCTTCCCATAGCCCTGTTCAGGCCTGTTCAGCTAATGGGGGGAGGGGGCTCTCCTCAGCTCTGCTCTTCCTCCTGAACCAGCCCAGAAGGGACTAGACCTTCCTTGAAGATATATCCACCATCATAGGAAAATTCCACCCAGAATTTAGTTTTTTTTTTTTTTAAATCTCTTTCTTTTTGTTTGTTTTTGGGCAGAACTTTCTGCCAGCTATAGAAGCACCTTGGAATTGCTTTTGAAAACGAGATCCATTGCTGGCAAGACCGATTCAAGCGGTAAAGTGTATGACAGACTGTAAGTATATATAGTTATATGTTAAAAAAAAAAATACAAAGAAGAGTTTACCAAGTTCCCATAAAATACATCAAAATCGATAAGAAAGTCCATCCTCTCCCTAGGACGTAGGCCTGTGGGTTCTTTTTGTACAAAATACTCCCCCAAATCAAAACAAAATACACATATACAGACACACACATGATACACACACACACATACACATAGAGTAACATTTTCTGTGACAATTAAAAAAAAAAATCCTAGTACAAATATAAAGCTCTGTAAACCTGGTCCTATGAGAATCTAATGTTAGTAAACAGCAGGAAAGTGGCGCCTGTCGCATGGCCAGGACCTCACATCATGGTCTCCACGATGACGTGACTGGGTTTCATGAGCGCACCGTTCATGACGAGGGTTGAGCGGGAGTGGAAGGGTGTGGCCCCCTCACGCTCCACAGCCCAGCGGTTGGGCTCCCTGGGGGTTAACAGGTATTTGATTCTCTGTAGAAAAAGATGAGGAGGAGTCAAGAGGGGACTAAGAGGGTTCCTCCCTGCCAACCTCATGCATACCCTGGGGTATTCAGGTATGCTTGCTGACCAACTGCCATCCATTCTGGGCCTTCTGGTGATTTTCAGAAATGGAGGGGAACAGCCAGATGTCCTACAGTGGTTTCCACAGCCAGCCCCTGTGTGTGTGCTTAAGACAGGGCGCACAAAGCCTCAGGGAAAAGCAGGAGGAGCTTTTCCCTGAGGAGCTAAGTCCTGTTTCCCTGTGGTTTATTCACTCTGGTTGCTTCAACTCTGCTTCTACGGTAAATCTTCAGGTTGGGTAACTAACCTAAGGCCCCCCACCTTCTCCAAGGCCTCCCCCAGCAAGCCTGTGCTTCCTGCCTTTGGGAGGCAGTTCTTCACAGCCAGCCCCTTCTCCTGCAGGGTTGGGAGCCTACTGCAAGGGAGGGTCCTGCCCTGTCAGATAGGAGACAGTGGGAGAATCCTCAGACCCTCTAGGCATGGAGCCCAGACTTCCCAGTGTGCTGACCATGGAGCCCTCTCCAAGGACTCCAGGAAGTCACCAGCAGAGCTAGGAATGGAACTTGGCTCACACTTCCCACCTCCTGCCCACTTCCTGCCAAGTGCCTGCTCAGACTGAAATGGGCCAGCAGGGGGGGAAAAAAACTAGAAGGGAACAAAAGGCCCTCGTAGGTATTTATATTCAACTATGGCATATTACAGCTGGAAAAGCTGCTTACAGCCTACATGTGTGGCCTTGAGTTTCCCCTGGCACCTCTAAGGGGCTAGGGTGAAGCAACTTATTTAAAGACATTATTTCACTTAAGAATCCACATTCTCTTGGAAAAGCTCACAAAACTTGATAACTCCAGCTGTGTGGCTCCTACTAACATACCTGAGTTGCTCTAAGCAGGTTAACAGAGCTGCAATCTTCCCCATACACCTAGCCTGCCTTGTCAACTTCAACCCTGCCTCTCCTTCATTGGAACATCAGGTTCCATGTGCAAAGTAGAAAAGTTGCACCTGTCACTGGCAGCCACCAGCCACTGGGGCTGCCCACATGGGAAGGCTCAGCTTGCTCTGGAACCCTGATAGGGTTAGAGATCCAGGTGTGCCACCTGGACATCTTGTGCTGCTGGGGGAGGGGGAGGACTTTGACTCACTCTAGCTGTGGGGAGAAGTCTTTGCCCTCACTGCCCCTCCCTCCCCCCAGCAGCTCATTCTGAATGAGCCTGTCTACACATGGGCCAGACCAGCCTCTTAAAATCAGGCCTTCAGCCAAGCTGTGGGGCTTCTACCCATAATCCCCTGAACTAGGGAGGCTGAGGCAGGGGTATTGCATATTTGAGCCAACAAGGGCTGTGTAAGTGGGTGAGTTCCAGGCCAGCTAAGCCAATAGATTCAGACACTGTCTCAAAAAACAGTTGGTTGTTCAAGAGACCCTGCTCCAGTTTTAGTGACTACACTACAGAAGTTGTCTAACCTGGGCAGACTTCTACAAACCCCTGCCACGTCCAACTAACTCATGCCTGGGTGGTAACAACTTTCTAGAATGGTAACCCAGGTTGGCTCAAGGCACCAGGGGCCACCTGGAGGGCTCAGGGCAGAAGCAGCTACCTGTCAGTCTTGGGATCCGGTATTTCAGCACAAACAACAGAGAGATTTACACTCTAGCTTAATGGTAGGGAGATGGGAGGGGTTGGGGAGCTGGGGTCCTAGCCCCAATCCTCTATGTGCCTGGACTGGAGACCCTCAGGGCCTCAGACTAGCATGTGCCCCTGGCTCTTTCTTCTCCCAGCCAACACAGCCCCCTCCAAGGGAGGAAGCCTGGGCCAGCTCAGGGGGGAGCCAGAGCCCCAGGACATCCTGGCTCCAGATTCTTTTTGTAAGAGAATAAAAACAGCCCAGAATAAAACTGGGGCCTTGGAACCGGCCCAGGCACAAAGGTTAAAGTAGATTCTAAGAAAGGGATTTCGTGGAAAAAGCAGGGGACTGCCAGGCCTGGAGGCTCCTGCATTGTGGGAAGAATTCCTGAGGAGGCTGGGGGAAGGGAGGGGGCGCCAGGAGGAGACAGGCAGTTCTAGAGGCTGGGAGCAGAGCGGAGGGGCAGCACACCCCAGCACCATGGGGGTGGTGCCGGGTTTCCTCTCCAGAGCCCATCTCCTGGCCTGACTCAGAACAGGGATCCCACACCCTTTAGCATGGCACGTGAGGCCACTGTACCTCTATCTGTCACCGACACCATATTCTACCTTACTATGTTGGACATTGCCTCTTAAGCCCATGGTTGACTTTAAAGCCTTCTCCCCTGTGAATGGCACCTGTCCCTGTTCCCCCACAGCATACTCCTGCTTTGGATCCCCTGATTTTTGTACAGTGAGAGGACTTGGGACTCAGAGAGGGTCACATAGAATCTGGCACTGGCTGTCCTCCACCCCCACCCCCACTGCCCATGTGTCACACTCACCACTCGGAGCGGTCCCTCCGTCCGGCAGAGGAGGATGACAATGACCAAGGGGATACATATCATGGAGATAAGGGCCAGGCCCCAGCCCAGCCCAATTGCCCAGTCAGGGTACACGTAGACTTTGTTGTAGGTCAGGGGTACATACTTGACAAGAGAGAAGATGAAACATCCCTGTGGAGAGATGGGGCAATCAGAGGATCCCTAGGTATTTGAGAGCAGAGTAGGCATTATCTAGGGCAGGGCCTCTCCCTTATCCTTATTACATAGACAGGATGCTATTAGGCTTTATAGGTTGCTCCAGGGCAAATCGCCCGTTCAGCATCCTTCCATGGCTCCCCAGATCCTTTGGAATACCAACCATGTCATCCCATAGCTATGACTCCCTCCTTTGTCTTCTGTCCCCAGCCCTTAGGACTCTTTCTAGCTCTTCAGCATGTGCCCAGGGCTGTTCCCCCTGTCTGTCCCTTTTCCTTCATCTTTTCACCCTGCTTCCATTCTGGTGCACCTGGCGTTGCTTGCCTAGGCTCCATCTCTTCCTTCCAGAAGCCACATTCAGCAGTTTCCCTCCCTCTAGAGCAGTGGTTCTCAATCTGTGGGTCACAACCCCTTTGGTGAGGGGACCTCAAGCGATCTTTTTTTTTTTTTAAAAAAAATTATTAATTTTTTTCTTATTTTACATATCAAATGACCTTTTCACATTGGAAAACACAGATATTATTTACATTACAACTCCTAACAGCATATAGTTATGAAGTAGCAATGAAAATAATGTTATAGTTGGGGTCCCCACAGCATAAGGAACTAACAGTATTAAAGGGTTACAGCGTTAGGAGGGCTGAGAAGCAATACTCTAGGGCAGCTCTGTTTTCTTTAACACCAGATGCAGTTCTAAGCATACACAGCACGTGCTCAAAATGTCTAAGGCATAGCTGAAAGCCAGATAGCCATCCCCCTCAATGCCATGGCCTCTCTGCACACCAGTCACTAGGTCTGGTTCCAGGGACAGGATACGGACCTGGCCTTGGTCCTGAAGAGTAGATGTGATGGGGTGAACCCTGAACCCTAAAACTGTGCAGAGTCTACTTCTGCCTTTGAGGGGGCCTCTTGGGGGGCCTCCCTAGACCCTTCTCCTTGGGAGGAGGCCCCCTGGGGAGGGTCATGTGTGAAATCAATCAACTACTCATTGCCTAGCAACAGGTCTGATGGGAAGTAGTGGTGCTGGGTGAGGGCAGGTGGCCCATGGGGTCTACCTTTCTCTGATGCTTTCAGCCTAGAAAGCTGTGGCTTAGGTGATGTGAACTCCACAGATGGTGGCTCTGAGCTCTACCTCGCCTTTCCAGCAGGGAGCCTTGTTCTGCCTCATAGTGCAGTACATGAGAATCTGGTCCAGTCAACTCTCCAGAGAGGAGAGAGAAGGAAACCTGGCTTAGTGTGAGAGGAACTCCAATCACAAGCCTGGTGTGAAGGAGAATGGGGGTGGTGGCCCCAGCCCAGCTAACAACATCTCTGCGTGGATTGGGCCTCCTGTTGGTGATCTCTTGACTTTGTTGGGAGATGTGTATTGAGAGCCACAATCACATCAGATTCTACTGTCACTGAAGGCCCTCGTCCGGATGTCCTTGTCACAGAGGTGGGGAAACTGAGGCCCAGATTGGAAAGTAAGTTAGCATGTCTACTTGGTCTGGCATGGGAGTAGAGGTTACAAGGAAGGGGACACACTAATCCCTAAGCACTGGTTCTAAAGTGAAGGACATATGAGCACAAGGTGCTGGCCAGAATAGCAGTGTGGGTGGGATTCACACACACCGATCTCTAGGGCACTGTCCAAGATCCCCTGTGAAAGCTCAATGGTCTTCACAGCAGAGTCTTAGGGAAGGACCTTGCTGAAGGTACCCATGCAAGCAAGCATCAAGGCCACTCCAAGGTGGCAGGAAGAGGAGAGCAGCCTGGCCTACTGTCCCTGGAACTGCCCTTCCTGTTTCCTCTTTTTCACAAACTCCTATTGGTCCCACAAAACCCTACTCAACCAGGCAACAAAAAGCAACATGCCCCTACTCTCCCAGATACAGCTGAAGCTGGCTCGGTTACAGCCCACACCCAGGAAATGCTAATCAAAAGGCAGGCTCACAAGGTGAGAATGTCAGGCTGGGTAAGACTTACAATACAGAGAGCTGGAGTGATGACAGCCCAGCTGTACTTCATCCAGGGCCCAGGCCGATAGCCAATCATGTCCTCAATACCGTCATATAAGTTATCACCGCCTACAAGAGACAGCAGTGCCCCATGGTGACACAATGGCCAAAGCCAGAAGAGCCCTAGGAAACAGTGCAGCAGGGGTCACCTGGGGGCCTCTAACTACCAGGCCTGTGTCTCCATCCCAAGCATGGCCGCATGTGTCTAAGGCAGCTTGACACTCAAATGTAGTTGGGCACCTGCACTTGCTGGAAGACAGAGCCCACATCTCAGGGTGGTCAATCTCAGTTTTCTAAGAGGTCAAAATGGACCATTTTTAGGCCAAAGAGTAGGTCGCCATAGGCTCTGGTGTGACAGCAACATATGTTCACATCTTGTGCTTTCAGTAAGATTTTTTGTGATATGCTCAAGGGGCATCCCGGGGTGAACATTCCAGGCAAGGGAAGTTTTTCCATTAAAGTCTCTGATCAAATGAACAGCTTGAAAAAGGATGTGAAAACATGTAAACTCACCATATATCCAGGCAATAACAAAACATTCAAAGAATGCAACCCACAAAAGGCATACACCACTAGCTGCATAGTAGTCAAAGAGTTGAAACACATACATGCCACCCTGTGAAGGAAAAAAAGTCAAAGATAAAGTTGGTTTGCTATATGGTCTCCAATTCCTTTCACATATAAAGGGCTGTGACAAATCTATTCTTTTTTTTTTTTTTTTTTTTTTTTTTTTTAATTCTAGAGAGGCGGAGGAGAAGAGAGGAGGAGGAAGATTATATTTAGGGCCAAGTGTACAACAAATACTCTAGAGTCCAAGACAGGCAAATTGCTGTGAGCTCAAGGCCAGTTAGGGCCATATAACAAATTCAATTTCATGTTTGATAAAACACACAGGGTTAGCCACACAAAAGGTCACATAAGTCTACACTCAAAGGTGGTCTTAAAACCAAGTGTGGCCAAGTCCAGGGAACCCACAGTTTCTCCTTCAGGTGAAGGCCTGAACAGGGTTTGTGGTAATGATTGGCAACATTCTAGAGAACTGAGGCAGGTTGTGTCCAGGGCTCATCCCCTCTTGTCTGTCCCTTCTCCATTCACTGCCTTCAACCCTTCTGTTCCCTTCTTCTCCTAGTGTCTTCCTCCTATTTAAAGTATGGGCCCTGTCGTCTGGGCATCGCAGATGCTCTCCTCAGCAGACACCCACACAAACAACTTGCAACACAAGTGCCAGGGCCTTGATTTGACCACAGCATCTCAAAACAGGAGTGTCAGGGAAGCTGCATGGTCATTGAGAGCTGAACAGATTAAGGATTGATTGGGGGGCCAAGCCCAAGGTGGTATGATAAGTACCCCCATCCCAGCTGCCTCCACTGTGTCCTTGGAAGGAGGCTGGGCATCAAATCCAAATGTAAGAAGGGAACTCTCTCACACCACTCAAAATAATAGCCACCTACCTCCGTCACCATCGTCAGCCCCAGCAGGTAGCTGATGCTACACAGGATGGCGATGAAGATTTCCCGACGATAACCCTTCCTTAGGAAGGACGGGTAAAGATCAACCAAGGATGTGATCTGTCCTTCGACTTCAACAAACTGAGGGGTGAGAAAGAGAGAAGGGGCATGAGGAGGCTCAGCGCTGACCTGGAACTCAGAAGGAGGGCTTGGGCACATCTGACAAAAGGGAGGAGTAGGAGCCCTGTCCTGTGTCCTGGGCAACATCTCACCAGATCCACCTGGAAATCCATGTAGCCAGACTCTGGGCCATGCAGGCAGCCACCTTGGTCTGTTATCCAAGAAACTTAGGACAAATGGCTCTACTTAGATCATCCCTGCCCTCATCACTGCAGACTCACCCAAGAGCAGCGGCTTCTCTAAGAAGCCAGGGCCAGCTCTCGGTCCTGACACACTTGAGGGTGAGTGCATGGCCTTCTGCTTGCCACACATATCAAGGCAATGAATGCCTAGCCTAGCCCTTCACATGGCTGCTCAGCCACAGCACAGCAAGCAGGTCAGCCTCTGTACTAACCAGCTGGAAGATTTTGGGCAAACCCTGGCCTCAGTTTCCCCATCCAAAGCCCAGAAGGCACCTTCCAGTCTGACTCACATAGTGGCTTAAACCCACTGGAAATCATGTGATACAGGAATCTTTGGGTTCCAGACATCATAAAGAAAATTCTGGAACATACATACACACACACACACACACACACACACACACACACACACACACACACACACACGCACACCATGCTCGAGGATACTTATCAGTCTTTCTACATCTTTCCATCCTTTTTGTACCTAATGATTTATCCTGGAGACTGTTATGTCCCTATACAAAGAGCCACCTTGCTTTTAATAGCAGCATAATTGAGATGCTAAATGCTGGGGATGTAAACACTTGGCAGCGTGCTCACCTAGCATGCAAAGGCCCTGGGTTTGATCAACACAGGCAGGGTACACCTGTAATCCCAGCACCCAGGAGGTAGAGGCAAGAGGATCAGAAGTTCAGTCAGACCTGACTATACAGTGAATTTGAGGCTAGCCTGAGATACATGAAATGCTGTCTTGAAATAAAAAGACAAAAAGGTTTGGGGACAGAAGTTTCTACAGAATTCATATGAGAAAGATCCAATCATGGAGGCCTTTGGGAGGTGGTAAGGGAGAACATAAGAATGGATACAGAGAGAAACACCCCCTTCACATGCCGGAAGGAGTGGCACTCTGCAGCCAGGATTCTAAGACGTCCAAAAGGTCCTAAGCGCTGAGAGAGAAGTGAACTTTATGGTCTCTTATTGATGTGCCCAAAGAGGATTTGAACCTGAAAAACAACTGAGTTGGGGCAAATGGGCAGCCCTGATGACCAGCTACCAAAACAAGTTAAGGTGAAAGGCTGTGTGAATCAGAGCCAAGATGGGCCCCTCTCAGCCTCAGTTTCTCCTGCTACGGAAAGGGCAACAGTGACACCCAGGCCAGGACACTGCAGGGGCAGGAACTGATGTATCAAAACCTGGGTGCAGTGGGCTGGGGAAGAGCATGCATTTAGCTCTTAGATCACATTGTTGGCATTACGAATAAAGAAAACTGTTGGTGCAGAGCTTGAGGATAGAAAAGTCCCCACGACAAAGCCTGATATCAGACATGCTCAGTGCACATGGAAAAAAAAAATGGCTGAGTGACTTCTGGCACTTAGTGGGATCTCACACAGTGGATTCTCTGCACCTCCATGGAAGGCTGGCTTCTCCAAAGCCCTCCTATTTCTCCAGGTTCTGTAAACAAACCAGAGTCTATTTCCTTGCTCATCTGTGCATGTGTGAGTGATGATGCCATCAAGTCACTTAAGCACCAAGCCTTAGGAGCCTGCTCTTCAAAGCAAGGTAAATAGGAACATCCCAAAGCCAGCTTTCAGAGCCCCTCAAAATTCTCCACTTAGCCTGTGGCTTAGCTGAGTCACACATCCTGTATTGAACCCCATTCCCCCAGGAGAAAACACCTGGCACCTCCGGCTGGGAAGGTTGGGAGCCTGCAAGGCCTGCTTGGAGCCAGGGTGATATCATGCCTAGCCACTTATTAACTTGCATTTTTTTGTTTTCTTCTTCCCCTCTGAGCCCTGGAAGATGTTCTAAAAGCCACTAAAAGGCACCGCATGGGGTCTGCTCCCAGGGTCAAGCTCTCAGAGCAGGAATGATTAACAGAATCTCGCTTGTTTACAACAGTGGCTGTCCATCACCAACTGCACAAGGATTTGCTTTTCTGGCTCCAAAAAGTTTTCACTGTCTTCTCTGCTAATCTGACCCCTTGGCTGCCAAATCTTATACGGTGTTCTTGACCTTACCAGCTGCCTCTTCTGGACTCACTCACCTGTGTTTGAACCCACCCTGACAGTGCTTTCTGAGGCTTGGGAAGGGGGATGAGGAGTCAGTATCCAGACCTGATCTCACCCCCTATTTCAGTTTGACAGACTTCTCCTGAAGCAGCTGGACCCCCAAGCCAGGCTACCCAGGAGTTTCTCCTGCCTTCCCTGTCTCTCTAGCTGGCCTGAGCCCACAACCTCCCACCCTCCCTGCACATACCACAGTCTCCCTCCTGGAGTCTCAAAAATAAGCCCACAAAATGACACCCACTTCAGGGAAAGAGACCCACAATCTCCCATGAATCTCATGGGCACCTGCATTCTCTATGCCTGGCGCTGAGCCTCGTGCTTCACAAACTATACCCATTAAGCCAGATGAGGAAACTGAGGCTCAGAGGAAAGATGATGAATGTGGCATCATCACACACAACAATGCTACATCTCCTGAGCTAGATGCAGCAGCTGGATGGCTGACACCAGCGTTCTCTGGTAGTGAACTGTCTCCTATGGAGCCCTAGCAGGGGGCTGGGGCAGGGTGTAGAGTTCAGAGCACAGGAAAATGGCTGGGGGGCATGGCTTAGGGCAGAGTCCATGCTTAGTGATGTGAAGCCCTGGTTCTGCCCAAAAAAAACAAAATAAACATGCAGATAAGACAGCCAGAGGCTAGGGGACAGGCTGGCCTGAATCAGGAGTAGTATGCCAAATGTGATTCAGTTTTTGTAGACATCCTTGGGACTGTGGTGGCCTGGATAATGATTGACACATGCACTGACCTTTGTACCTCTGGGTTCTGGCCTTCTATTTTTCATTTATGGCTTGACTTTAGCCACCCTCATCTCCTTTGGGAGAATAGCCTTGGGCAATAGGGTAGAAGGTTTCCCCCCCCCCCCCACTGCTGGCCTGAGGCCTTGCACTGGTTGGCTAAAATCACTGAGGTAGCAGCTTGAGGGGGAAGGGTCTGAACATCCCCCCAGATTCTGTAAGGATGGGTTCTCACAATGAGGCTGCCCACATGAGCACCAGAGCCCCACATCCACGTACCTGGCTGTCCAGTCCAAGCAAGAGGAGCATAATAAAAAACAGAATGGACCAAAAGGTGGGCAGCGGCATCATAGTCACAGCTTTTGGGTAGGCAATGAAGGCCAAGCCAGGACCTAAGGGAGAGAAACGGGGAGGGGGACACAGGAGGACAAACAATCAACACCATGTCACTTAGAACCCTGGGCCTCACAGATCACTCATGTCTGAGTGAGGAGAGGGTCACCTAAGCCCAAAGTGCAGGGGCCAGGGAAACAGACTGGTGGGGCTTGGGAGGGGCCCCAGGCAAGCATCTGTCTCCTACCTGTACATGGCCTCCTCTCAGGTGAATCTAAACCCATATAGACACAGGATCCTAGGGGCAGGGAGCAGGACTGAGCCTGGGGCTCAGGTGGCCACAGACTGAGGAAAGGGAGGACCCACCCCTCACACAACCAAAGCCGCACACTGACGCTGGCTGGAAGGAAAGCTGTGGTTATGTGATTCGTGACATCCTCCTTTGCAAGGAACGGTTTCTATTTTTTAGTTAATGGCTAAAACACTGTTTGAATGGAAAGAAAAAAAAAAAAAGAAAGAAAGAAAGAAAGAAATTTAGAAGTATGCCCAGTGGGCCAGTGGGGCAAACAGCTTTTCAGACATGCCTGTGGGGCCTCTGTTCCCCACAGGCACCCAAGTTCACACAAGGCAAGGTAGAACCAGCCAGGCCTGGCACTGAAGGGAGGCGGCATGGGGTAAGACAGGTCCCACATCCCAGTCCTCACCCACCACTTCATCTATATTGGGCTTCAGTTTCCTCTACGTGAAACATGAGAGTCAGGTGGCCCCAGGATCCTTCTGTTCCAATTCTCAGAGGTGGATACCACTGCCCCGAAAAGGGCTATGGATTCTTATCAACAGGAAGCTCTGCCCCCTCCCCCCACCCCACCCCAGAGGCAGAGAGGGACAAGAGCTGTGCTCACTCGAGTGGCTCACAGAGCCATTTGAACACAAACATCTGCTTGTAAAAGCCCCCAACTAGATGATTGGTGGGGGGCACATTATCTAGCTAGTACTTGTGGAATCAACTACTAGAAACAAATCAAACCAATTAAGAAGGCCAGACTGCAGGAGACTTGGAAGACGTTCTGTACTTTAAAGCAACCATCAAAACCAAGCAAATGGCTTAAGAGGAAAAAAAAAAATCACAAAAACAAACCAATTTTGGAAAAAAAAAAAAAAAAAAAAAAAAAACAGAACTGGAACCAGAACTCACTTAAAAGCATCAACAACCGCAACGGCGGCAGAGGGCAAGTCTTTCAGTGCCGTCTGAGAAACTGGGGAGAGGGGCAGGCGCTAAGTGGTTGGTAGAAAATTCTAGAAGATTCTTTAAGGTGGGGCTGCTTACCAAGGCAGAAGCTGCTTGAAAGAGCAAGACCGAGGGGAGAGGGCTGGGTGCAGAACACATAACTCCCACCCGGGATATCATGAAACACACTTGGAATCAAGTTAGAACTGGAAATGTACTGAGCCCCTAAATTCCAAAGCTCTAGCCCTGCCTGGTCCACCCCAGGGGTCCCCTGGGGAATCAGGGCTAGCCAACAAGACAGATGTAAAATGTGGTACCCCCACCCTAATACCAGATACTGCGAGCAGACTTAGTTCACTTATTTCTGCCTTCCACTTTAGATTTTCTCAAGCCAGCCTCAAGAGAGGGGCTAAGCGCCCTTCTCCAAAGCAACAGTGAACTTGGGAGAACAGAAGCTGAGAATACTTAGGCCATTCTGATACCCTGCCAGCACAGCATGCTGTGTCCTGTCTGGGCTTCCCTCGGCTCGTTCAAATGTGCTCTTCTTTTGTTATCATGCTTGCTAAAACTCTTATGGAGGCACTGTCCTTCTCACTGTGCTGGCTGTTCAGACATCACTGTGGGGAAGGAGTGATGAGGTCTTTGAAGTGGATGGAAGAGGAAACAACTGGGGCTGACCATATATATGGCACGCAAATACCCATTGTGCATAAAGATCCGCTTGACGGGCCTCATCTTCCTCCCTAACAAGCTTCCTCCCTGCCCTTGGGGACACCCAGTTACTGGCTTGGAGTCACCTTGCATGTGCAAGCGGAAAGAGTGACATTTGCAGAGGGGGTGGGCGCCTTGCTATACAACTTCCAATCCAGGGTGTGGTACCAGTTCCTGTGGCCCTGGTCTCTGCCTTGGAGCTCGAGGATGGGCAAACAGTTCTTGTCCAACTGGACATAGAGCAATAGATACGTGTGTACAGTGTGAAGTTCACACTTGGGGGGGGGCGTGTATCTGAGTTAGACCCCAGCAGCCCATAGTAGGATGAGGGTGCCTGAGGTCAGAGGAGCCAGTGAGAAGGGAAGAGCTACCGTAGACGGACTTGCAATGGGTAGAGGCTCAAGTGTCCAGACACACTGCCTGTGGCCCTAGTCTGCCCCAACCCAATCGAGCAAGGGTCCTGAGTTGGGCCCTTGCTCTCATGTGAGACATGAATATCTAGATACACAGTGTGGAAGTACCCTGTGACCTTCCAATACCAGGGCTTAGGACTAGGGAACTAGGACATGACCTTGAGTGGTCCAAGGGCAGAGAATGACAGGGACTTAGGGTACCTGCCCCTGGTCTGCAAAAGCCCCTAGAAAAATGATGCACAGTCTACCCCAACCCCATCCTGGTGGCCTGAAGGGAACTCCATCCCAGAGTCCTTGGCAGCCTCCAGAAGGCTCCAGAGGGGCTGTGGGCAATTACATTAGGTTAGACAATATCGCTCTGCAAGAGACTTGGGTGGTGGAAGGTGGCCCCTGGGGATCTCTACCCCAGCTACCACAAGGCTAAGCAGCAGGGTGAGGCCAAGGCCCAGTCCTCAAACCCAGACTCCTAAACACTGTGATGAGGTGGTAAGATTCTAGTCCTTGTTCCAGAACCATCTTCACTAGAGCTCTGGGTCCCATGTTGCTAAGGAAGGACCCACTCTGTACAGACCCTGAGACTGACCAACCATTCTGTGACGGTAGGTGTCTTGAGTAGCAACATGGGACCAACTGGCCCCCATTCCCTAAGGGCAACAGTGTCCTCATGTCCTACTCCCAAATGGGCTCTGTCAGGGTCCCTGGGTGCCCCCCCCCCCGCCTTCTCACTCCTGGTGACTGTAGTGGAGGCTGGGAGGGATAAGGCTTGGTAAACAGACCTAGAAAGTATTAAAGAATGGATCAGCCTGGTGGTGGGGCTCGCCAGGAGCAGAGTGCAAACCGCAGAAATGAAGGCTAAGATGCCAGCAGCGCTGGTGATGGTGTGCTAGCTGTGGCTGCCCTGGGTCTCAGTTGGAAAGCAACTTCCATGGCTAAAGCCAGCGGTTGCTGGGGAAGGATTGGGGGCTGGAAAACCACAACTAAAACAGCCACCAATTCCCTTCTCAACCGCCCTTGTTCCTCCCACCTTCAGTGGGCCAGGATGCACTGAAAACCTTGAAATGTAGTTTTTGTACTCAGGTATGGGGGAATGTCTTGAGGGGAGAGGGGATGTCTATGTAAAAGTCAGGTTCCCTCCATCCCCCTGGGGTCTGGCTCCATGCCTGCAGTACTCATCTTACACACTAGGTGGCAGTGCCCACCACCACTGCCACCGACACCACCGTACCTGACTCAGCCACATCAGCAATGTCCACCCCTTGCTCTTGTGCCATGAAGCCCAGGATGGAAAAAATTGCGAAGCCAGACACAAAACTGGTACCACTGTTCAGGCATCCCAGCAGCATACAGTCCCTAAGTTACACACACGTCAGGGGGTAAGTTAATCACAACACAAGGAAGCCACGCTCCCTACTTCTCTTTTTCTTTAATCATCATTTCTAACGTTCACCGGGCCCGCCAGCGCGACACTTGCCTGTACGAGTTATACTTGTACTTGTTGTAGCTTCCCAGTGAGGTCATGGCCCCCAGGCAGATGGCATAGGAAAAGAATATCTGGGTTCCTGCGTCGATCCAAACCTGAGAGGGAAGGAAAGGGCATTAGGGTGAGGGGCGCTGACAATGTGAGGATTTTTGACCAACCATGACAAGGTCTACATGGGTGTTGATGAGCTAAGAGGAGCCCCAGAAGGCAGAGACAGTGGCCTCCTGTTTGTGCATCAGTTAAGAGACTGGATCAGAAGTACCGCTCCGGGAACCTTGCTTTTTGTACCTACAGAATGTGCCCCCAGCCTACCCTGCCCTTCAGCACGACTTCCCACACTCAGTAAAGAGTTGTCTTTACTCTGTCTACTCCTAGGTCACCATGGTCTACTCCCAGGTCAAGGCAGCCTTGATGGCTAAGTCCAGGGGCCTGAATTAGATAGACCACAAGGCACTATGTCCCATAGCTCTGGAAGGCAGCAAGTCTACCTTCCCAGCTCATGGCTCAGGCTGGCCATCAACCCTGCCCTGCTCAGAGACCCAGAAATGCTGGCCCCTGGGAGGGAACTGAACAGCGTGGGATCCTGGGACAAAGGTCTCAAAGGACACACAAAAGCCTCCTGGGTTTCACAAACTCTCGACGCCCCTCATCAGCTATGTGCTATGATAGGGACTTACAATATGACCCCCTTAACCTTCAGGGCCGCCATCAATTCTAAATCCCTCCCTCGTCTGAGGATACCTTCCTGAATACCAAGCCTCTGCTCTTGGCATGACCTTAGCCAGTGCCATGCCTGAGGCAGACTCTGGAGCTTGGAAGCACCACAAGGCACCATTGGTCCAGTGGAGGAGTGCCTGGCAGCAATGGCCGGCTACAGGTGGGCAGGAAAGAGCCATGGGAAACACAGTCACCTGCACCCCGAGCACCACCCTCCCATACCTGTGGGTCCTCCAGGCGGCTGATGTCAGGGTACAGGTAGAACTTGATGCCTTCGCCAGCACCTGGCAGGGTCAGTCCACGAACCAGCAGCACCAGAAGCATGGCAAATGGGAAAGTGGCGGTAAAGTAGACAACCTGTAGGGGCGAGAGGGAGTCAGGCAGACCTGTGAGCATTCTCGCTGCAGTGGAGTGCGGACATCCTCTTCTCTCAAAGCAGCAGGTCACCCTGGGAACAGCAAGGACTCTGCAGACACGCTGGTGGTCCCCTACCATGTAACCTTCAGCATGTTGCTTAACCTCTCGTCCTAAATAGGACATATGGATCTAGCTTATGGCTGAAAAAAATAAATAAACCCTGTGGCTAATTTACATAGCTCATCTAAGTTCAGAATTTAAAAAAGCGGGCAAGATGGAAAACAAATCCTCCCCACTTTGAAGAGCTGATCACTAGGAGAAAAAATACAGACAATACAACTGAGAATCTAATCAGGGTCTATGCCACAGCTCAGCCCACTAGCTGTCACATGGCTCTCAGCACATACCAGCTGCCATTACACTGTCAGTGCGCCACTGGGGTAAAGAGTCAGAGAGGGCTGGAGCGATGACTTGGGTTGAATCACCAGCTGTTTTTGCAGAGACCTGAGATCAGTTCCCAGCATGCACTGGGTAGCTCAGGACTACTTGAAACTCTGGTTCCAAAAGATGTGGTGCTCTCTTCTGTCTAATGCAGGCACTAGGCACACACACACGTAGGAAAATACCCACACACATTCAGAACCAGGTGTGAGTGCACATCTGTAATCCCAGCACTCAGGAGGCTGAGGCAGGAGTATGCAGGACCTGCATGGGGACACACAATGAGAAAAATGCCTGGGCCTTCTCTTGCTGAGAGATGCAAACACAATGAGTACTCTCTCTGGGCCTTGCTTTCTTCTCCTATGAAATGAGGACAAGAGTCACTGCAGCCCTTGTCAGGGGATGGGTGAGGCTTAACACAGTCAGACGACAGCAAATGGTTGTCAAGACTCACAGCCTGACTGATGGTGACTTGAAAGGGGGTGAGTGGGAACTTCTCTAAGGTCATGGCCAGAATGGTAAAGGCTTACAGGAGACCCATGAGGTCACAACAGGCCAGAGTCGGGGTGGGGGTGGGGTTAAGGAAGGCCCTCTGCCTAGTTCCATGAGCTATTTGGTCACAGGGCAGTTAGCCTTTAAAATGGTTGAAGATCTGAGGGAGGCCATCACTTTCTAGGAAGTCAAGCCCCTTAGAAGGGAACTCAAGAACAGAGGGGTGGCCACCATCCCTCTCTAGACTTGGTCTCTCCACCTCTAGATGAGAGCCTTCAACTGAATAGGCTTAGGTTCCCAGCACTGAGGCTGCAGGGCAAGGAGGTGTTAGGCCCAGAGGGTCAGCTGGGGTTGTCACTCACCTGTCCTACCTCCCAGTTGGCAACTGTGGCTGCAGCTTCAAGGGGGAACTCTGACCTTGCCCTCTGTCCAAGTCTATAGGGAATGTCTGGAAATACTTAACAACCCAAACAGTGGTGGCATTCTACAAGGCCCTCCTGTCCGACACCCCTCCCTGGATGCCTCTCTTCCTCCAGGCCTCGGTGTCCCCAGCCATTCTTGTTTCTTTTCCCTTGAAGGACAGACAGACACCCGGGACAAAGGCCAGTCAGGAAGCCATTGAAAGGGTAAAAGAATGAAAATCTGTCTGTCCCCTCCCTTCCTGTGGATAGGCGGGCAGGCACCCCTGGCTAGATCCCCCTCTCTGAGGCTCTGCAAGGCCACACCCAAGCTGGTAAACAATAGCCACACACAGGAGCCCCTTAGAGGTCCCCAGAGGGCTACAGCTTCAAAGCAAGTGGATTGCAGCCAGAATCACTGGACTCATGGGGGCTGGGGGCTCCCTGGCTTGTCTCTTGCCTCTTTAATAAGCACTTATTCGATGCCTGCTATGTGCCCAGCATGGTGCTATAAATTTACTCAATACTTAGCATACCTGGATGAGCTCAGGACCATTACAACCTACCCCTTCCCTTTTGAGAAAATGAAGCCCACACTGGCCACTGTCACCTGCCTGGAGTCCCCAAATAGGAGGCTGTCAGTGGTGGCATCTGATCTAGGCCCAGTACTTTCAGGGCGCCCCCTTGTCTTCAGGAGTGTTACTGTTGTTGACACCGTGTCGTGCTGCTCCAGTCACTTCTCCAGAAAGCCACCTTTGCTGTTCCTTGGATGAGCCTGGGAGCCCTTCTCTCAACTTTTCCGTGACTGTCCCTTGAGGTCTTCCAGAGAGAGGCTGGTGCCAGGCTGGTACCACAGGCCCCTGACGGTGGCCCAGTAGGCCTTGCTGTGGGACATGGTATTTTTCCACTCCTGTTTCTGATCCTCCACTACTCCTCTGAGCTCAGGGCCAGAGGCCTTATAGAAAATGTAGGCTTGCAGGACCTCACCCCCAGCCTCTGGAGGTTGGTGGGTAGCAAGAGGGAGCTAGCTTCCAGCCTCCTGTTACTCAGCTTTACTTGGGAATGCATGGCCTGGGCAGCAAGAGTCATTCAGTCATTCACTTCACACCAGGGGAAACTGAGGCTGAGCAGGTGAGAGGGACTTGCAGTCTTTCCATTTGTATGGGCAGAGGTTAAGTCCAGCCCCAGGTCAGGCCCTATCTGCCCTGGAGTGTGACCACAGGCCCAGCCATGCACATGTCCAGGCCCTTCCTAGGTGAGCATTGGCAGTCCGTCCTCTTGTGTGAGCAAGCAGGAACATGCCTGGCTTCTGCCTCAATGCACCTACAACCCAACATAGGGGTAAGACTGAGAGAGGGGAGGAGGAAATGGCCAGAGTTCAAATCCCAGTTTGGCCACCGATGAGCTGGGTAGCACTGAGAAAGTTAGTTAAGCTCTCTGAACCTCAGTTTCAATTGTGCAGGATCGAAAAACTTCTGGAGGATTAAATGAGCTGCCACCCAGCTCTGAGAGGCCATGTTAACACCCCAGCTACCTGGCTTGTTGAAGGAGTGAAACCACTGAGTTTGGGGCCTATGTCAGACCCTCAGAGAGTTGGAAAGGCCAAAACCAAACACCTGAACTTTGGAGCCCAGGCCTCCATCCATCAACCTCCTTTCTCCTGGACTAAGCTAGCCACGGAAGCAGGCTTGGCCAAGAGGGTTCAGCCCTCACGGCTGGAAGCCTGGTCTGCAGCCAGAGCTGGATGCTGAAGCCAGCCGGCGGGTGGGCCTGGGTAGGCAGGCAGGCAGGCAGGCAGGCAGGCGGACGGCCTCTGAGGGCCTCTCAGCATTGAGCTGGAGGAAATCCACAAAGCTGTTTGTCTTGGCTTCTCTAACTCATCAAGCCCGCTATTGTTCAAGGAACCAGGGCGTGCCTGCCCCTCAGAGCAGGGTGTAGCTCAGCATAGGTTGGGGGAGTAGAGCTCTGGCCAGTCACAATTTCACAGGGGCCACAGCTGCAGCCTGGCGTCCTCTCTTTGGCTCTGTCTCCTGTGTAGTGCGCTGTGTCCCAAATATTGCTGACTGTGCCTGGTAGACATCAACCTCCTCCATCAGACTGGGGGCTTCCTACGTCCAGGCCAGGTACACCACAGGGCCTTTACACTGGCCATTGCCTCTGCTGGCAAAACTCCCTCAGATACTCTTTTTTAAAGACAGGGTTTCTCTGTGTAACAGCTCTGGCTGTCCTGGAACTCCCTCTGGAGACCAGGCCTGCCTCTGCCTCCTGAGTGCGGGGATTAAAGGCGTGGATCCTACTCCTTCTCATCTTCACTCAGCCACCTCAGTCACCCCTGCCTGGCCACCCTATAGAAGATTCCCCACGCTCCTTTCTTCTCTCCTGTAACTCTTGGCACCTGTGTCCCATGCTCATCTCTCTTCCCAGCCAGCTACAGATGCCAAACACTGTGGATCCCCTCACTGTTTCTAAGACAGGATCCATACACAAGAGGCTCAAAGGGCATCAGTGCACCCCGAACACGACTGATGTTCTCTCCAGCATCCTCAGCACCAAAGCTCCCTGAACACTCCCTGACAGACTCGCTTCCATGTGGGGAAGCTGGGGCAGCAGGCAGAAGGCAATAGCTGCTTACTCAAGAGTGTGGCTCAGGTCTATTGGTCCACAGATCTGAGGTACTTAATATGCCTCATCTCAACTCTCATGTTCACCTTTTGACAGCTGAGGGGACAGGCTTGGAAGGAAGGGGAGGACAACTGCTCTAGGACAACTACCTGTTCTCTTCTGAGTCTCAGTTTCCTCACTGTTTGGAGGAAAGCAACAGGCATGCTCCCAGGACCACAGTGCTCAGGGTCCTGAAGGAGACAGGCAACATCATGTTCCCTCTTTCTGCTTGCCCTGTGGTGTGGTCCAGGCCTGGCTGGTTTCCCTTCAGACTGAGGTTCAGTATCGCAGTGGGCTCTGCACTCCAGTACCAGGACAGTGATACAGGGTAGCTGGGCAGCCCTGCTTCAGCATCTGTTCTAAACTCCAGGTGGCAGCCAGCCTGCTATGCAAAGCACACTGCAGTCTAATGGAATAGCCAGCAGCAGCAGGACTGCCGACTGGCCTTGGCTCAGCAAGTCTTGCTCATCACACCAACACTGCATATGAGGGGCAGGGCAATGGCTAGACACACAAGCTCAGTGGGGGAAGCTGGCTGCCCACCACTCACGAGGTCATTAAGCCTGTCCTGTCAGAGCACTCTTGTATCCCAACACGGGCTCTTCTCCTAGGGTAGAGCTCTTTGAGGAGAAACTGGCCATAGTATGGCTGTCCCTGAGGCAGAGGACTGGAGTCCACTCACCTTGCCTGTGGATCGAACACCCTTCCAGATGCAGAAAAAACAGACGAGCCAGACTAAGAGGAGGCAGAGCGCAAGGTCCCATTTCAGAGCACCTGGGTGGTCGATTCCGGAGGACAGGCTGAGCACATTGCGCCTTAGGGGAAAAAGAACAAGAAAGAGGTCAGAGGCTGGGGGCCACTTGGCGGCAAAGCCAGCACAGGCAATGTCCTGGTTCTGTCTCTGGCACAATGACAAAATAAAATACAAAATGTTCATTTTCATTCCATCACCTGGGAGGCTGAGACAGGACTGCCTTGAGTTTGAGGCATGCCTGGGCTACACAGTGAATTCCAGGCCAGCCTAGACTAGAGTGTGAATGAATGAACAAATGAACGAATGGACGAACAAAGGAATGATCAACACCTGCCCCCATCTCCACAGATACGCCTCAGTAGCAGCCCCTGGCCTAGGCACTGCTGTGTATAAGCCTTGGGACCCATTTGTCAGGAAGACAATGGAAGGGACTAGGGTAGCAGGGCAGTCAGGAAGCTGCAGAATCCTTATCAGGTGACCTCAGGCTCAACCCAGCTGGGCCATGGGCAAATTAAGTTCCCCAAGCCTCCATTTCCTCTTTTGTAAAATGGATACTGATTTGGGTAGTAAGGTGGCTCGGCATGTAAAGGTGCTTGCTGCTGAGCCTGCTGAAATGACCTGTGACCTGCACAGTGGCAGTAAAGGACTCTTTCAAGTTGTTTTCTCTCTCTCTCTCTCTCTCTCTCTCTCTCTCTCTCTCTCTCTCTCTCTCTCACACACACACACACACACACACACACACACATACACACACACAATGTTTTTATAATGGAGCTGATTATCTGTGGGCAACCTTCAATTTTAACTGTGGGCCAAACACAGGGTTCAAATCTCCATTTCTGCCCAACTGCTAACCCCAGGCAAGTTACCTAACCACCCCATACCTCTGTCTCAGTAAAATGAGGGTGGACCCCTTTTCCCAGCACCCTCTGTCCTAGTTCCCTTGATCTAACTCTGACTGCTATCTGGGAATGGTGGTTTACACCTGTAATCTCAGGCTGAGGCAGGAGGAGTATGAGTTCTAGGTCACCCAGGGCTACATAGTCAGACCCTGTTTCAAAAGAACAAATCCAATCAATGGGGGGGAAAAAAAGAAAGAGGAAAAAAACAAAAACCAAAAAACTAACCCTGAATGTTATCTAGATCTTTCCCAAGGTGTAAGCCTCAGAAGGGCAAAGTGGGTCCTGTATGGGCATAGGGTACCCATCTTGCTGCAGAAACTTGTAAGGAAAACACCACAAGAATGTCCAGTATCATACCAAGGTCTGGAGGTGGCTGACCCCTGACACACGATCACATGACTGCAGGGTGAAAGCATACCCACAGAAGCTACTGGCATGTAGCTGGTGTTTATGTGGAGGCTTACTCCCTCCTTCCCTGCCAGGGTTTTGGGGCTCTCTGAAGCAGACAGGTCCATAGCTTTCAGGACAATTCCCAGGGAGAAGAGGCCACTAACCCTGCTCAGAGCCACATAGCAGAGCTGGAGGTCTGTGGAGTCAGAGACCTCCAGTCACCTTTGGTAGTGTCTGCTGTTTACATACACTTGCCTTCACCCGGCCCCTCCCTGTAGGGAAGGAACCGTAGGAGGCAGCACAGCATGCTCATAGCTCAGATGGCCCTGAAACCTACTGTCCCAGTACCCCATGTCCAGCAGTGCCCACGCTGAATGCACAGACACTGAGCCTCCAGGTTACATGCCACCAAGTCTTTAAGCTGCCAACCACAACAGAAAGGACACAGGGTCCCCACACTCCAGGAGAGTTCCAGACAAAGACAGTTCTTACAGCTGCAGGCAGGCCCACAGGAGTGGGGACTATGAGCCTCGTTTTGTCCTTTCGTAAACTGGTAGTGCCCGTTCTTACCCAGGCTGCTTCTTGGGAAAACATCCTAGGATATTTATTCTAGGCTTTCAGTGGGTTAATGGGACCCCCATAGTCAGGAAGCCAGCTGGGTCTTAAGAGCCCTCTGGACCAGGACCTTTGGCTTTTTTTCCTCCAGAAAAGCCTCAACATAGGAATTTTGAATAAACCCAAGGGTCCTTTTAAGTGGTCTTCAAGCAACATGTTTAGTCCACAGTCATTGTTCTCAGGACCCAGGATGATACCTGGAACACAGCAGGATTCAACAAACAGCTACTGAATGAATGAACCACCCAGGAAAACCAATCCTCACAGTACTAGGTCAATGCAAGAAGTAACCCCAAGTCTAAGAGGAGGGGCAACTTTGCTTGGTGCCTTAGTTCTTATTCTGCTGCTCGCAGTGACATCAGTGCCCCTCACCATGTCACTAGAAGAGTGTTTGACCAACACACAAGACACAAAAGCCAGCAGAACCTGACTACATACCTTTTCCATTGATCTCATTCAATTCAAGGGGTAGAACCCATTGGTCGAATTTCACAGATGGGAAAACCAAGGATTGGAGGGTCCATTTGCCCACATTTGCAAAGCCACTAAAACTCCAGGCCTGTCTGAGTCCCAAGGTTATCCCAACTGCACCACAACATAGTCTGATTTTAAAAGAAAATAGCACCTGCTTTTAAGGACCTGCAGGCTGGCTCAAAGGTTAAGAGCATTATCTGCTCTTCCAGAGGATCTGGGTTCAATTTCCAACACCTACATGGCAGCTTATAACCATGCATAACTCCAATTCCAGGGAATATTAGACACACAAGTGGTGTGTATACATGTACATACCTGTATACACACACGGGGGGGGGGGCGACACCTATAGGCATAAAATGTAACTAAAAGTTTTTAAACGATAAAGGGGCCTCCAGTCCTCCACTACGAGCTGGGATCATCTGGTGTCTTGGGGCAGCATCATGGGGTACCTTCACAAAACAGGCTAACAGCCAACCACATGCAGCTGGGCCCCTGCCAAGCTGAGACCTGGCAGCACCACAGAACAAAAAGCCCTTCCCATTCAACATTCAGCACTTGGGTAGCAGCCATGGAAGCTCAGCACACAGGGAGAGACAGCCCACGCTCCTGTGAATGGGCCACATGGGGGAGAAGAATGTGGCCCTAATCCACACCTTCACACACGCAGCCTTTTCCCTAGACTGCCCTCAGGAAGTGTGTCCTCTGCAGCTGATGCTCCAAGTAACTTGCTGTAGAGCCCATCTAGCCTGCCTTCCTTCCCACTGGTTCTGACCATCTCATGGACAGCATGCTGACATAGTCTACTAAGTTAATGATCGGCCATGAGACTGCCTCTTTGTCTTTTGTCTTTTTGTTCTTTGGGGCAATCTATCAAGAAGCTCAGAACTCTAAAGCCAGATCCTGCTGGTCCTGAGATCCCCATCCAGGTCATGACCCTCTCTCTCTGTCCATTCCCACCACCCTGTTAGAGCAAAGCCAACTAACTGCCCAACGGAGAGCCCACTGTCACCAAGCACTGCCAAGTAGAGTTGCTCTGGGTAGCTGAGACAAACTGAGTCCTTTTACTCCTCTACTGCTGGGGACAGTCCCTGTAGGGTGGCACCCAGTGACACTTCAAGGTGGATTTTCCCTGACCCAGTAGCTCCATTCCCAGAACCTTCTGTTATTCTACCAGCATGCCCCCTGCCCAGTACCCCTTTAGGATACAATTAGGCCTTGAAGTGGGCACAGTGGAATACCATCAGTGTCAGGTTCTTGGTGCTCTGGTGAAACAGAATAACATCCTTGGGGGACAAAGTAAGCCAGCAGGGCAGGGGATATCTGCACAAGACCAGCTGCTGTGATCAAGAGAACCTGAATACACCCCATCGAGCAGGCGCTCCCAGGGGACAGGGACTCACAATAAATGCAGCTCTTTTGCAGTGTGAGTAATTCATATATACACTTTATAGACTTAGGTGGGGAGTGACACAGGGTTTCTCTGTCTAGCCTTGGCTGTCCAGGATGTCACCTTGTAGACCAGACTGGCCTCGATCTCAAGAATTTCACCTGCCTTGGCCTCCTGGATGCTGGGATTAAAGTTTTGTTTTGTTTTTGAGACAGGGTCTCACATAGCCCAGGCTGGCCTTAAATGATTGACCTTCTTGCCTCTACCTGAAATTACACAGTATTGAAATCATACAAGTCTGTCATCGGGATTCATATAGCTTGCTAGGGTCACAACATGTCTTAGGAATGGAAGGAATAAGTCTGTCAATCAGGCTCTGACAGCCCCAGGCAGGCCTGAGCTGGAGAGTAGCCAGCCATCTGAATCCCAGCAGGGACCCCTCCACCAATCCTCTCAGTGCCCTCCCTCCTTCCAAGGGTGCCTTCTCACTGCTCTGAGTAGAGCTCAGTAAACTGCAAGGTGCATGCATGACACAAAGCTGCCATACAACATCACTTGTGGGTGCATCCTAAACACCTATACCCCGCCATGATTCCCTGCTCAAGCCCTACTGTACCCCAAAGCCACTACAATGAGTTCTTCCTAGCTTCTCTACTATATTGTCCTCTGCACTTGTCAGAGGGGCCCCACAGTATCTGTGATGCAGACTCTCATCCTTAGCTCCACATCCTCCCATGGTCCCAGCCTCCCTCCTAACCTATCCCTCTCACCTTCCACTCATGTTGATGCTTTTAAAGATATGGGGAGTACCTAACAAGACTAGGGGAGCAAACAGACAAGAAGGTGGACATCACGGGTATATAGCTGTCTACTCTACCTCCTTCCCTCACCTGCCCCTTGACTACTTTTTCCTCAGGGGTTGAATGTGGTCCCTGAACTGTTGGACTAGCTGCTTCCACCGTTCATAGACAGTCTCTTTCCCAAGGGCAACCATTTTTCCTGGACACCCTCCATCGAGAGCACTCCAGCCCTCTCCTTCCACAGCACTGGTTCTACACTCAGCACTTTCCCATTATGATCTTACTTTCTGACTGGTTGATGTGTCCATCTACTAGCAACTCAGATCTGTGCACCACGTGGGGCCTGCATCTGTCTGAACCATAACACCCAGCACATGAAGACGCTCACCTGACATTAGCTGAGGGAATTCATTACAGCCATTTGGTGACGGGGAAACTGAGGCTCAGCCTCCCATTAACCCAAAGCAGTAATCAAGCCTGGGGCTGATTCTTTTTTCTTTTTTTTTTTTTCTGATGCCCCCTGGAACACATCAGTGTGTCTCTGGTCAAGACTCCCATCCTTAAGCTTCCCAGTAGTTTCTTCCAGAGGTAAGCTGCAGATCTTTTCCAAGAAAAGGGCCACTTCTTGCCAGGATGGAAACTAAAAAGAGAGAGGCCGGCCTGGACGTGTGTTTGCAGCCGGCTGCCCTGCTGCCGTCCAGTCAGCACTTGGAGATGTAAATTCATCCTCAGAGTGGGCCAAATCGTTTCCTTTTGACTGCAGGCCAGCCATTTATTGGCCGCAGCAGTCCCCTGGAGACTGGCGGAGGCAACAATTATAAAAGGGCCGCCAGCCGGAGCATGGGGCCCCCACATAGCCCTTCCCACACCACCTCCTCCTTCTGACAGCTACAGAGGAAGATTGGCTGAGCATGGCTTGTTTGCAAATATGACTCATTTCTTTGATTCTAATAGAATCTAATGATCCATGCTGGGCTCCCAGGGGGCTCTGCAGGAGCCTCGGAGGAAGGCCTGGCTCCAGCCTGCTGAAGGGCGTTAGGCCAGACCTGGCCCCGCCTGTCCTCCAAGGCCTATGAGGGAAGAGATTTAGGGACAGATGTGACCTCAGAGGTGAACAGCAGTGGGATGAGACCTTAAAGGCAGACGCTCTGTGGCCCCACCATGAAGCCACTAAACATACCCTAAACCCAGTGTAAAATATGGTCTCTGGAGCCTAGTGGCTCCTCATGGGAGCCTCTGAGGCTGAGAAGGTGCCAGGCTTTGCAGACAGGGTAAGTGTGGCAGGGGCACAGTGATAGAGAAGTCCATGCCTAACCAGAGACTAGAGAAATACAGATGTGCTCACACACAAGCAGTGTACCATGTGACCCGTCGTCATGGGCTTGGCTTCAAGGCCTGCCCTGTATCACAGGGACGGGAGGTGGGGTGGAACACAGACAAAAAGTTTACTAAGAGAAGACCTGTGCCCATACTGGGTCCCCAGAAACCTTAGCACACAGCTTGGTCCAGGTTCCTTACTGTCAGAGAGCAGTAAGTGCTGGGGTCAGGCTAATTCTGGCTCAGAGCATAGAAGAGGGGACTTAAGCTTGGCATTCCAACCATCCTGACCCCAGAGGGTTGGGACATGTGGAAGCTACACTTAGGCCACATTGGGAGGGGAGTTTTCCTCTGAGGTCCTCCAGCCTCCATGGTAACCAGCAGAAGGGAGGGACTGACAGAGTCCTCTATCGATTAGAAACTGGAGGAAGGCTCTGCTCCTACCATGCCTGTTACCTTTGGCTCCCAGACCAAGGGCAGCTGGATTTTGCATGCATGATGGAGGGCCAGTGAACTACATGTGAAATGTGAGGAAGAGGTCCCCCCACAGTGCCTTACTCTTTCCCCCACTTAGGAAGCCTCAGGGGCCAGCAACAGGCTGACTGGATAAAAACACTAGCCACTATATCTGATGGCCTGAATTCAGTCCCTGGAACTCATGTAAAAACATAAGGGAAAAAAATGATGCCACATAGTTGTCCTTTGACCTTCACACACATCATGATGTGCATACCTCAACATTCCTAAAATAAGTGGAGGAAGGGAAGACTTTGCATCAACTCATAGCACCCACCCTTTCACCTTCCTTTCCACTGTTTCAAGCCCAAGACAAGGGGAAGTTCTTGGAAGCAGGAAGCCCTGTAGACTCCCTGATGCTCCTGCCCACCTCACCTCTGCACACAGGCTCAGCAGGAGGCTGGGGGAGTGGGGGGCTCACTCACCTCTGCCTGCTTTGCAGTTCTGCTCAGTGGACCCCAGGCTCAGGTGCTGTGAATGCTAAGGTATTCTCAGGTCCTAGACTACAAAGTCAGGTCAAGAGCCTGTGAAGGCCAGTGTGGGCAGAAGCTAGCACTCCTTGGGCACAGCATATCCACAGATACCACAGAAGGGCCTGCAATAAAGCCTTTGGAACAAGGTGTTTTCCTAAAGCTAGGCTTTCCTGATGAGAAACAAAAGCCAAGTGCTTTGTGCAAGGCTTCTAGAATACAAGGGTGCTGGAATACTCAGGCTGGGAATGCCTGAAGAGAGGGCAAGGACACCAAGCAGAGGTCTTCCAAGACTTTCGTGCCACAGTGACAGGTGCCAAGCAAGGGCAAAAAGAGCATGACTCCCTTGCCACCAGAGCCTGTGGACATTTAAGGGGGCCACATTTAGATTCTAACCCCCCCCCAGAAAGAATGCTTAACCACAATGAGGACACAACATGAACAGTACCCTGAAGTGAGGGAGCAGCTTTTCAGGGTGGCCATGCAGGGGTTCATTCACCTAGGGCTGCAATATAGCCCCTATGACAGTACCAGGATCATCCCAGGGATGGACACTGAGGCCAGAAAGACCGCATCTGTCCAAGACAGAAGTGGCAGAATGAAGGTTCAAACCTGGACAGTAGACACCTCAGAGGCTGGCCAGGTGCCAGAAGCCTAGGAGGGTTAGGTAGCCCCGGTGTCCAAGCCATGCCAAGAACAGCACAAAAAGGCCAGAGCTATGGCCTTGGGCCCCTTCAAGGAAAAGAGTAAAATGCCAGCATTCCTTTGTTTAAAAACTTCACTCTCTGAAGGGTGAGGAACATGCTTTTAATACCCCTTCCTTTGTTTGCTAGGCCCCAAGTCCCCAAAAGCCCAGAGCCCTGCCAGTGAATGTAGTATAAAGGCCCAAGCATGGCACAGGCCACCCAAGGAAGAACAGCTGACCCATCCTTGTAGGAATCATAACACAGCTCCCTCCTGATAGGCCCTAGTTTAGCTTCCTTGAAATAGGGCAACATTCCCCCAATGAGAGGGAATCTCATCTCATAGTAGTCTGGGACAGGCCTTCCTCTGTGTTCACCCTAAGTTAAGGGTACATGCTTCTAAGGAAAGTGATATGCTCAAGGGTTTCTAATCAGCTTCCATGAAATATTAGGGTGTCCTGGAATGCATGCACACACATGAGAGTTCCCCAAATGCTATTAACACAAGACGATATCTACATGTTGTTCACATGCTTGCCTGTCCGTTGCTCTTGAGCTGCCTATGACAAGTCAAAGGGGAAAGACAGCGATGAGATCACAAAAGCCTCTCCATTGTGAGGCCAGCCACAAAAGAGCCACTCACAGACACATGAAGGAGCCCAAGAGCAGACCTACCAAGATGAGCGTAACCCAAACTGGCACCAAGTAGTCATGAGCTTAACAGACAACACGTGGTTAAAACCACCATGCTTGGGAATGTTTGTTATACAGCAAGAGCTAACTAACTGATGCATAGTTTTACTATCAACTCACCTAAATGCATTTTTCTGTGATAATAGAAAACATTATCTTAATGTATTTTTTTAAAATATATTAAGAAAATTTTCAAACACATGTACGCCTATATTTGGAGAAAATTCTTTCGCAGAAGTTGTATGGAGTAAGAATGATACATTTTCTTCATTTGGCAGTTAAACTAAGGCTTAAAGTGCAGTGGGGTGACTTGCCTAAAAAAAAAAAAGTATAGCCATAATTGGTAAGCCAGGGTTCAATTCCATCTTGTATGAGACAAAGACATGGAGTTATCTCCAGCTGTGTCTTCCTGCCCTCCAGAGACAGGGTCTCTCCCATTTCAGGATGAAGATACTGTCCCTTCTAGACCTGCCCATGCCCCTCCTTCTTCCCATGATGTGGCCTTACTCCCAGAACTCGATGACAGGCGAGGTGAAGTTGGTGGTGCTAAGGGAAACCCAGAGACTCTCATTCCTACGCAGGGTGTCCTCCATGCAATGTGGTGTGTTCCAGCTGTGGTTGCAGTGGGCCCAGGGAAGCTCCTTCTGGAAGGAATGGAATAGGTAGTATGTGGCCCAGGCCAGGATGACAATGTAGTACACATTCAGGAGGGACACGATGACGATGGATGCGTAGCCAATGCCTGTGGGCAAGAAAACCAAAATGGACACATGTCAAAAAGGAGGCAATTTCAACTGGGAGGCACTGGTGTGCCTGGGCTGTGGGCCAAAGGGGCCTCCTCAACAATAAACAGAAAACAGTCACAGGATGAAGGAGTAACTGGATAAAAGGACATGTGAATGAGTGGTCAAAGAAATGGTGGCTGAATGAATCACAGGAATGAAAGAAATAGGGACAAGACAATGACCATGCAGGTGGATGGTAGAATGGGTGGCCAGAAACATGGATTTTCCATAAAAATGGATGGATAGAAATGTAGATGGACAGATGGATGGTAGATGAATAGAAATGCATGAATAGAAACATGGATGGATAGATAAAAATATGGGAGGATGGATAGATGAATAGAGAGATGGCTAGATGGATGAATAGAGATAAATGAAAATATGGAGGAAAACATGGGTGGATGGATAGAAATATGGAAGGATGGTTAGATGGATGGATGGATGGATGGATAGATAGATGGAAGGATGGAAGGAAGGAAGGAAGGATGGATGGATGGGTGGGTGGGTGGGTGGATGGAAGGAAAGAAGGGAGGAAGGATGGATGGATGGATGGAAACATGGATAGGGAGACAGAAATATGGAAGGATGGGTAAATAGATGGAAAGATAGATTGGTGATAAGATGGATGGATGGATGGATGGAAGCATGGAGAGATGGATAAATGGAAAGAGAGCTAAACAGAGTTTATATTCATACATTAGTATCTACTTGTTGTATATACATATAGTCTAATTCGTCATATGTGTACATATGGTGGTTAGTTGGGAGGCTGGATAGCTGGAAGAAAGGGAGATGGATGGCCTAACTACTGAGTGGCAGCTTAATGGGAGAAAATAGTAGGTAAATATTTATGTGGGCTAATATTCCTATTCCTCCTGCCCCAACACAATAGTGATTACTCCAAGTAAACACTAAGTACCAAGCACATAATGGAGCCACCATCAACAGAGTGCTGGGCATATACACAAAACACTCAGACATGACTGCCATTCTGTCTTCCCAGTAACTCTATAGGGTGAGAGTACTGTTTTCTAGATGAAGAAATTGAGGCTCAAATAACTTCCCTAAAACCACCCCAAAAAAAGGATGAAGTGAGGCCTGAACCCAGTCCCTCAGATTCCTGCATTTTGAGAGAGCTGCCAGCTCGCTTTTCCAAGCACCCCCAGAGGTATCCCCAAGGGGACTTTCTGAGTAGCCAGGAACAGGCTGTATTTCCCTTCTCCTTGCCTCTTCGTGACACTTAGTCACAACATGCTGCTGCCCTGCATCTGGCACTGATACATGTGAGATGTGATACGCCCAGAAGGTGTCACTAAAAAGCCTAATGGATTTAATACCTATGGACCAAGGTGATGCCAGCTACATACTCACCAGAGAACAAGGGGCAGATCTTTTCCCAGCAGGTGATGCCCCCTTCTGAGGTGTACTGGCCTATGATGACCTCCAGGAAGAACACAGGCAGGCCGCTCCCAAACAGGAAAATAAAATACGGTATGAGGAAAGCACCTGCCAAGTGAGCAGAGGGTGAAACTGTGACTGTCACAGCATGGCTGTTAAATTGCTCACTCCCAAGACCTCCCAAACAAAGGTCAGGAGTGAGGGATATAAGTGTGGAGACCAAACAGACTTCCCTGAAGATTCTCCAGGCCTGCCTACCCGTCCCACCCAATAATCTGCAAATCTACCAGGTTCTTCAAGCCATCAGGCTGGTGCCTATGCCTGTCATCGTAACAATAGAGGCTGCTTGATCTGCTAGACCTAGAAACATACAGCTTTACCCATCTACCACAGGCCAGCCTGGGTCAGTGGCCAGGAGGGCCCAGAAGCAAGGGGGGGGGCAGGAGATGGAATCTCCAGCTGGTGGTAGGTGCCAGGGGGAGACAGGGAACAAATTATCTGAAGGGGTACACTAATGGCTTCAGCAGGTCTATAAACCATGTGATTTTGTGGGAACCTTGGGTCTTCGCTATCTGCTTTGTTTTAGGGAGTGTCTAGGATACACATCAGAGTTCCCGGAGCACCTGAGACCTATGAAGTCAAGAAACCAGGTGCTAAGAGGAGGCTCCCCCAAAAGCTGCTCTTTTACCATGGCAACAGACAGTATGCCCACCTACAGTCACATGACAAGTGGTTACCACCTACATTCTTCTCTGGTCCCCCTCTGCACCAGCAGGAACATCTCTAGGCTGGTGCTGCCTAACCTTGACACCCGAGAGCTCTCTCAGAGACCTTAGTAGAAGGAGACACAGCCCACACAAAAATCCAAACCTAACCCCATCAACTCAACTACCATAGCTAGAATACCTTCATGGATATCCTCTGCCCCCACACCCCTTGCATTATGGCAAATGATACTGGTTTGCCTTCTACAGAAAGAGACAGAACTAGCTTTTGGGAACACATAGGGTGAAGTTAAAAAGCAAAATCAGTACCAAAGATGCTAAAAGAGAAAGCTGCAAGCCCAGAGGTGGTGGAATGTAGGAACGGAGGGCATGGATGTCTGTAAGGGCATGGGTCAGACAGAGCAAACCAGAGGATCATAGAGATGGAGGGAGGGTTCTCCAGAAGGTAACCTAGCCAGAGGCTAATACAATGCCACCCTGCCCTCAGGCATGCTGACCCTGGGGCTGGGTAGGCGAGGCCCAGAGAAGGCCAGAGAACAGAAAAAGACCTCTCACACACTGACCCTGGCCTTCCATTTGACCCAGACTCACCTCCACCATTTTTGTAGCAGAGGTACGGGAAACGCCAGACGTTGCCCAAACCCACGAAGCCTCCGGCCACTGACAGCACAAAGTCAATCTTGCTGGACCACTTCTCCCTCTGAGGGGGCTTCCCCTCGGCCTCATCCTCAGGCCGTGTACCTGGGCTCTTCCCTGGAGAAGGCTTCAAGATGTCTTTGTGGAAGTCTTTCAGACACTGCAGCTTCTCCTTGGTGGCCATTCCCTCGTTTTCTGTGGGAGGCAGAAAGCCAAGGTGGATGACGAGGCCTACCCAGTAACTCCTAGCTCCCCACGAGTCCCCATCATAGAAGCCATATAGACCCCAAAGATCTCAAAAATTCAGGTCTGAAACACTCGCAACCCATAGAAGCAACAGGCTCCATTTCCCTGGCAACAGGCTCCAAAGTGGAAGCACTGGTAGCCCAAGATTGTCCCCAAACATCAAATTTCATTCAGCCTCTGTAGCCTGGGCAGTTCCAGACACACAGCTTCCAAAGGAAAGTCTGTCTGCAGCTCTCCACTCCAACAGGCACTTTTCTAACTGAGGTCTGCACAGAAAATAGCAACTCACATCTCAGTTACACCTCCATGCAGAGCCCAGAGAGGGGCCTGGCCTATAGCAGGTACCTGCTCTCAGTGAAGAAGCAAAGCAGGGAGATGGTGTTGGCTGCACAGGACACTATGCAGGGAAACAGGCTTTACCATCAGGGTGTGGAAAATGGGCAGTCACAGAATATGTTTATAGCAGAAAAAAAATAAGGCTTTCTTATGCAGACTTACACAAGGATGCTTGTGGCAGCTGAGGATATGATGCCAGGGCAGGTGTGGAAAATAAGCAAGGAAAGCCTGGCCCATCCCCAGATGGTGAACTAGGGCTTGTTACTTACTATCCATTCTTCAGTCCTGCCTACTCCAGGTTAAACCCTAGCAAGCAGGAGTCTTGCTCTCTGTTTCCCAGCTGGGCTTGGCCTAAGGAGGCTTCCTTCGCCTGGCACAGTTCAGAGTCACCTCCCTGCTTGGACTAAACCCTCGGTAGGGGGTTGTACCAGCTAATGTTCATTGCCTTCTCCTAGCATCTCCTCATGTCAGAAACACGAGGAGCTTAACTGAGAGGCACCGTCACATCCTGTGGTGGTCACCATCCATGTCACCAAAGGACACATAGCAAGTCCTTTGATAAGCAAGTAATCAGGTACATCTAGACACCCTGCCAATCCAGGGTCCCATGTGCAATGGTTCACATACAGCATGGCAGAGAGCCACAGGATACGGACGAGCTGGGGGGGAACCCAAGGCTAAGATGGGGTGGTGGTGGCCTTTAACCTCAGCACTCAGGAGGCAGAGGCAGGCAGATATTTGAAGTTCGAGGCCAGCCTGGTCTACAAAACTAACAGGCTCCAAAGCTACAGAGAAACCCTGTCTCAGAGGAAAAAGAAGAAAGACAAAGAAAGAAAAGAAAAGAAAGGAAGGAAGGAAAGATGGGTGGAAGGAAGGAAGGAAGGAAGGAAGGAAGGAAGGAAGGAAGGAAGGAAGGAAGGAAGGAAGAAAAAAAGAAAGAAAGAAAGGAAGGAAGAAAGAAAGCACTCGCTGAAGTAGATACAGAGTGTGCTATTCCCTGCTCACGCCGCTGGGAGAGCACCTTCACCTGCTTGGCTGTAGTCTGACTTCCCACAGCCAACCCCTACCTGAGCTCCAACTGCACACACTTCCCAGCTGGTGATCTTTTGGTTTGTGGAGAGAAGGATTTGTCCTGTTTTGAGCTCTGAAGCTGGCACACAGTAGGGCATTAGGAAAATGCTGCTATACTGACAGAACCTCAGTGTTAAAGGGGACAAGGGAAGACCTTGCACTGAGGTCCAGAGTGGCTGCCAGAGACACTGAGGTATACAGAAGTGACATGCCAGGTCCCGAGGGGGCTCTGCAAGGAGCAGAGGCCCAGAAGCTCAATACCCCCACTTCCCCCACACCTCCTTCCTCTCACTGGCTGGCTTGGGGTGGAGGACCCCAATTGTTTTGCTATCTGGCAGTGAGCAGACCAAAAAAGGCTTCCTGGAGCCACTGGGCAGCCCCGGAGTTCTTCCTCTGTCTGGGGGAGCATCCGCATGGCCTTTCTCTGTGGCTCCCCCGGGGCCCCACAAGGCTCAGCAGGCCTGTGGCCACTGTGAAAACAGCTCAAGCAGCCAGCATTGTTCCTGCAGCAGGTCAGCAGCCCCCGATGGTTATCTGACCAGCTCATTGTGGCCTGCGGTGGGCGCATAATTGGAGGATGTGGGACTCCACTCCCTCCAAGGGAAGGGTCTGCTCAAGAATGACCTGGAATCTCCAATTGAGAAGGGCTGATCCACCCTTTGGACACGTCTCAATCCTTGGGGCTAGGAAGACTTCACAAGGTCAGCCTAGCTTTAAACTTAAGAGGAGGAGAAGGGCCAGCATCCAACATCAGGAGGGATGGAAAGGGGACAAGGGTCTTCTCGCCTCATAGGCAGCTACTGGCCAAGGCTGGCTGGCCCTAATAAGGAGCCAGATTCTAATGCCCTATGGCCTGCTTCCCTGACAGCCCTGGTTACATTCTGGACTCCCAGACCCACTAACAACCCTCTAGAAATATGGGAATGGATAAATAACTGGGGTTCCCAAAGACCCCTGTCTCTAGACTCTGCTTTACTACATAAGGAATCTATCTTTGAATACTCTTAGGATTCTATCTATCATCATGTTACCCAAGGCTGAACCATGATGGTTGGAGGTCTGAGTGAGGCAGCGCAGTGCCTGTCCTGTGACTGCAGTCAGTCAGGTGCACCCAGGAGTGTGCCCTCCTTCACCATCACCTTCCTATGAGTGTAATCCAAGAACTAAATGGTTCTCCATTTGCCTTTGGAAAACCCAGGGCCCAGTGGACCTGCCTCAGCATCACCTCCAACCTTCATGTTGGCTGCAAATCACAGGGCTACCATCTAGGGAGGGCATCCCCTAGCCTCAGACTTTCCTGGGTCCAGTCACAGGCACCCTGTTCTCTTCCCTCTTGGATTCTCATTCCAAGCCCCTTGCATGTGCCTGACCAGCGGCCCTGCAATATACTGTTCCAGCAAGACCTGCAGATCCACTCTGTACATTCTTGGCATCCACCCCCACATTCCCTGTCACCATGGCAACCTTCTCTCAGCCAGCAGCCCCTAGCTCAGGCATCTACAGCAGCCTCCCTATAGGTCTCCTTGCTGCTCTGCTGCCCCCAACCTATTCTCATGCAGCAGCTGATGGCAGCTTTAAAAAAAAAAATCACATTCATAATGAACCTTTCAGTTCATTGTTAGAGAAAAACACAAGGCCTGCTCCAATCCCTGGCCCTCCAGATCCCAAGCCCCAAGCAAGACCCTTACAAACCCTTATCTTCCACCCATGTGGGACAGCCCTACAGGAATGCTGTAGCTTCTCCCACTCCCTATGCCAGCTGTTCAAGGCCCTGTGGTAGCAGCTTGGTAATGTGAGCCCTGACTGAGGGGCTGAGGACCACGTAAAGGGACTGAAGGACCTTAGGTAAGGTACTCAGCCTCTCTGATCTTCAATGTTCTCATCTGTAGAGCAGTAGTGCCTGTCATGGGGTAGAGAGAGAGAAATGAGGGAGTATACAGAATAGTCCAGAACAGCACATGGTACGTAGCAAACACTCCCTAAAACAATAGCTGGTGTCATTTTTACCAACCCCAGGGTAGGCAATGAACAAGACCAAAACAACTCTGAGGCCACTGGAACGAGGCAGTATCACAGAAACTCCCAGTTAGGCCAATCCACCCTTATGGTAGTCAATCGGCTACAGTATAGCACAGTGAGTCCCTTCACACCACCTGCCGGCAGCCTGTTTCTCCAAGAAAGGAGCGGTTTCTCTTGGCTCAGGTTGTTCAGAGGTGAAGATGCTTGATTCTCATCCTAGGAGCTGCCTTCATGGTTACCACAGTTACAGTGGTACAATGCAAGGAGTTACAGGCTCTGGGATGAAGTGTCCCTCCCCACCCAACTGAAATCACTGTCCCTTTTCTGGGGGGCAGCAGCTAGATCCAGCTGTGTTTGAATGCTAGCTTGCTTGAAGATCACCAGGCAAGTTTTGCCATATACACAGCCAAGTCAACTCTGGTGTCAGTGTCATTGTGGTTTACAAGATACACTTTTGTACCCTCTAGCCAGCTTAAAGCAAACAAACAAACAAACAAACAAACAAAAAACAAAAGTTTTTTTTTTTTTTTTAAGTACCTAGGCTAAACTATCTTGTTCTTCAGGGAAGGGGGCAGGAAGGGAAGTGTGGAAGTATGCAAGAGGAAAGACAGGGTCTCATATATCCCAGACTGGCTTTGAACTCAAGTAGAAGGATGACCTTGAACTTCTGATCCTCCTGCCTCTACTTTCCCCTTCTGCTGTGCTGGGATTACAGGCCAGCACCGTCACACAAGGCTAATATAGTTCTGGGGTTTGGCTCCAAGAACTTGCACATACCACACAAATGCTCTACCATGGAACTGCTTCACAGCCCAGAGACTTCTAACATGTTCTCACACAAGAGAAGCAGAGAAGTGGTAGCCTGCCTCAGGCCACACAGGGGCCAGGACAGATGGAGCCAGCATCCCCATGTTGCTTTACACTTACAGCAGAGGACAGATTAGAAGAGTCTACTGTGCAAAGAGAAAGCTGCTGGGTCAGAGAAGCAGCCTGCCCAGCGCAGAGCCTGCAGCCTGGAGACTCAGAGACATGGCTCCTGCTTGTCTGCCTGCCTCCCAAAGCCTGCCTATTCTCCTTGGCCTTCAGACATCCATGCACCAGCCAGGCAGGACTTGAAGTTGATTTAAGCTGCCCCTGCCTCCCCAACATTTGCCTCTGAACTCCAAGACAAGGAGGCACCAAGTCCCAGTTCTCCACCTTCAGAACCTTAGCTCGAATAAACAGCCCCTACTAGAAAGAATTAAACTCTTACTGTTGCTGCCTTCACCATTCAGGATCTCTTATCAAGGAGGCAGGCACGTGTCTGCTTCCTCTTGTGCTTGTCCCCAGCCCACCCCAGTGCCTAGCACACAGCACGTCCTCACAGAGAGCTTGGTAAGAGACTGGATGTCTCTCAGGGAGCCTCTGCAGGAGGAAGGAGCTGTTCTGTATTCAGCGTAAGCAGCTCTAAAAACTGGGGCAGGAGATGGGTCACATACCCACTGCACAGGAGATGCCTTAGCCTGAAGGCCCTGTAGAGGACA